CTCTGACCATTGCCAGGGGGCACTTTTGAACACTGAACCAGGAGTAGCTTCTGAATACTGCTGAATGTGACCCAAGGGGGCGGGAGTGATAGCACAGCGGGTAGGGCATTTGCCTCGCACGTGGCCAACCCAGGTTCAATTCCTCGCTACCCATATGGTCCCCTGAGCACTGCCAGGAGTAATTCCTGAGTGCTGAGCCAGAAGTAACCCAACGCTTGAGCATTGCCAGGTGCGACCAAAAAGAGCAATAAATAAATAAATAAATAAATAAATGTGACCCAAGCTCCCTGCTACCTCCCCCGCCCCCCCCAAAAAACCCCAAACAAACAAAAAACCCAAGTCCACCATTTGTGCTGTCAGCACTCAGCAGGGCCAAGAATGAAGGTCCTGGCTACTCTGACCTGCTCCCCACAATGGCCCCAGTCCTGCCATGCCCACGTGACGGCTCAGCTGGTCCAGGCAGCAGCTTGCCAACTGCCCGACCTGCTGGCGCCTTATCTGTTTGATTATATGAGTCAGGGTGAACTTTCTACAGGGCGGATGTTATCATTTCTCCACCCTCCTTTATTTATTTATTCTTTTTTGGGGGGGGTGGGAGTTGGACACACCTGATGATACTCCAGTGTTTCTCCTTGCTCTGAACTCAGGAATCACGCCTGGTGGGCTCAGGGGACCACTGGGATGCTGGGGATCAAACCTGGGTCTGCAAGGCAAGCGCCCTCCCCTTTGCACTGTCACCACGGCCCTCTCTCCACCCTCTTTAAACCCTCTCTACTCCCTTCCATCCCTAACCAGTGAGTGCCAGCATTGTCTGGCCTTGGTCTAGTTTTCACTCTCATTTCCAGCTTTTTTCTTACCACCCACTCGTGGCATCTCTGGCTCTCCCAACATATTGTAACTATGTGAAACCCACACCTCAAACTTCTCCAGGTCCCTCCTACTCTTTGCTTTTGATTTTTGTTATTATTATTATTTTTTCAGTCTTTGGGCCATGCTCGGCAGTGCTCAGGGATTACTCCTTGCTCTGCACTCACGGATCATGGAGCTTGTGGGTACTGGGGATAGAGCCTGGGTCAGTCACATACACATCAACACTTTACCTGTTGTACTATCACTCTTGCCCCACAAACTCCTTAAGCATCTCTCTCTCTCTCTCTGCATATCCTTCATAAAATATATAAGAACCTAGGAGTTCGGGAGTAAATCTACTGCTATCACACTTTACAGTTATTATGTATTTTACTATTTCCTGACCTGACTACAAACTCTTGGGAAGGACCTTGGGTTTATTGTTTTGTTTCCTGGGGGCTGTACCTGGCAGTTCTTGGGGGGGTGGTCTCTCCCAGCTCAGGGACCAGGTAGTATCAGGGATCAAACCAGGGTTGGTTCAATCCCTGCCTGGTTCACCCACAGCAGTGATACATCTATCCTCTTGGACTATATTCTACCAGGACTTCAGAGCTTAAGGCCATCTTCTTAAGAAGACAGGTCCTCTTTAAAATGCATGCCTATCCGGGTTTTGTGACCAAAATCTCCAGCCTTTCATGGAGTCGGGGATGGGCGGCCTCCCCCCATCCTCTTGTTCTTCCAAGAGCCTGGCAGTGATGCCTATGAACTGTCTCTGGTGCCATATAGGCTCACTAACTGGCTGTGATCCAGAGACTCATAAATAAATCTCAAAAGACATCATCAAACTGCAGAGATGCTTCTGGACCCCAAAGTCACCATCCAGTTAAAAGTTTAACTCCAACGGTATCACTCCATTCAAAATTTTAGAATTCCTGGAACAAACACAGCTGCACAATATCTCATACTCTACGCCACTGATATACCAGGAGTAGCACACCACATTGGATGGGAGGTAAAGTAGAAGGCAACAAACCTCGATTCAGAAAACATGAACACACAAGGCTTAACCTGTAACATCATTGTCAGTAATCTCGTATACAAAGGCTTAATTGCTCCAGAGTAAGATACAACAATCTTCACACTTTCTTCTAAGGAAATCCTTTTTGATCATTTTGAGCAAATTATTTATAAAACAAGCATACAAAAGAAATCATATAGGGCATGCTACTGGGGCAGGCTTGGGTGGTGGTTGGGAAAATTGCAAATAATGGTGGTGGGAAGGTGTAATGGTGGTGGGATTGGTGTTGGAATATTGAATGTAATAAATCATCGTGAACAACTTTATTAACGCACTGTAGCACCGTCCTCCGGTTGTTCATCGATTTGCTCGAATGGGCACCAGTAACATTTCAGAACAAATAGTGAGACTTGTTGTTACTGTTAATGGCATACCGAATACATCACAGGTAGCTTGTCAGTGCGGACGAGATACTCTCGGTAGCTTGCTGGGCTATCTGAGAGGGGAGGAGGAATCGAACATAAAATTAAAAAATAATTCATGTCTGGGGGCAGAGAGATAGGCCCTCCAGGGTTAAGGTGCTTGCCTGGCATACAGCTGACCCCAGTTCGATTTCTGGCACCCTGAGCACCATTGGACCCCTCAGCATAGACCCAGAATTAGCCCCTAGAAGTTCTGGGTGGGACCCTAATTCCTCTGGCATCCCCCGCCCCCCTCCCCCCTGAAAAAGCTCAAGACTGCCAGAATTTTCTGTATTCCAGTCCAGTCTTGGTGCTAGGAATTGAAACCTCTCATCTCCTCCTGGAGCGATTTTTTCTCCACTCCTTCCAGAGAGAAATCCTCCGCCACGGCATGGTCCCCTCCCGGCCTGCTGACTGCCTCGCTCTGCTCTAACTGCTCTAACTTGTTGTCACTGCTCTCCATGAAGGTAGGAGTTTCTCTTCCTGTAAGTGCCAATTACCCAAGCCAGGTGGCCACCACTCAGGGCTCCAGCCTGTTTGCACCTGTCAGTGCTCGACCCTCGCACACCCCACTCTTACATAATTCTTTTCTTCTAAGGAAGAAACAGCTCACAAGGCACCCCCTTTACCATTGTGTCAGTTGTTACCGCATTAATGCAGAGGATAGGGCTGGAGCCATAGTACAGCAGAAAGGGCACTTGCACCCAGCCAACCTGGGCTCAATCCGTGGCACCCCAAATGGTTCACTCAGCTCCTGCCGGGAGTGATCCCTGAGTTGTGGAGCCAGGAGAAAGCCCTGACCACCGCCAGGTGTGGCTCCAAAACCAAATCAAAAAAACAAATCGAGATAGGGAGAAGTGTGAATGGTGAGTGGGAGTCTGATTATTTCAGTTTTTTTTTCTTTTTGGGGCAATGCACAGGGGTTACTCCTGGCTCATGCATTCAGGAATTACTCCTGGCGGTGCTCTGGGGACCACATGGGATGCTGGGAATTGAACCTGGGTCGGCTATCGCTCCAGCCCCTATTTTAGTTTCTTTACCTTCTTGATGAACCACTCCTACCCTCCAAAACCCTGAAAGCCTGTTTAGCTGTTATTTCTCTCTTTCTCATTGTTTCTTATCAGATGACAGTTAAGAGTTACATCCAAGTCGGGGCTGGAGTGACAGCGCAGCGGGTAGGGCGTTTGCCTTGCACGCGGCCGACCCGGGTTCGATTCCCAGCATCCCATATGGTCCCCTGTACACCACAAGGAGTAATTCCTGAGTGAAGAGCCAGGGAGTAACCCCTGTGCATCGCTGGGTGTGACCCAAAAATGAAAAAAAAAAAAAAGAGTTACATCCAAGAGCACTTTGACCTCATACTTATTTTTTGGGGGGGGAGGGACACACCTGGTGGTGCTGAGGGGTTACTCCTGGCTCTGTGCTCAGGGATCACTTGTGGCAGGCTCGGAGGACCATGGGGGGGGGGTGGCGGGGGGATGGAACCTAGGTTGTCCTCAGCATGCAAGGCAAAAGTCCTGCCTGATTTACTATCACTCCAGCCCCATCACACAACTTTTAAAAATGTTGCTTTTTGGTATGTAATCTGTGGTGCTCAGAGCTTCCTCCTGACTTTGTGCTCAGTGATCATGCCTAGTGGTGCTGGGGCACTGTATGAGGTACTGAGGATTGAACCCCCGTCAGTCCCATGCAAAGCAAGAGCTCACTGAACTATCTAGCCCCGCAGATAATATTTTTATTTTTATTTATTTTTATTTTATTATTTTTGTTTTGCTTTTTTGGGTCACACCCGGCAATGCACAGGGGTTACTCCTGGCTCTGCACTCAGGAGTTACTCCTGGGGGTGCTCAGGGAACCATATGGGATGCTGGGAATCAAACCCGGATCGGCCGTGTGCACCCTACCCGCTGTGCTGTCTCTCCAGCCCCGCAGGTAATATTTTTAACGTGAAATAAAAGCTGTTCTAAAAGTCACGTTCCTGGGGGGTGGAGATACAGTCCAGCGGGTAGGAGGACTGCCTTGCACGTGGCCCACCTGGGTTCAACCCCTGGCATCCCATATAGTCTCCAGAGCCAGGCCTTCCTCTGAGCACCGCCTGGTGTGACCCCCAAAGAAACACAAATGAAACAAAATGAAAAAGAAAAAAAAAAGTCCCATTCCTACATTCCAATCCCACGGTTCCTTCTTGAAACAAAAGTTTCTCCCTAGAACTTAAAAAACATTTTTTTGTGGTCTTTGTGGTTGTGGACCTCGACATTGCAGGCAGGAGGACACACCAAAAACAAGAGGCCTCTTGTTTGCTTCTCTGCAGTTTCTTTTTCCGAGCTCAGCTGCGTCCAGAAAGTCGAGTGGGCGGGTCAGGCGTGGGTCGGGTGGGAGCCTGGCGACCCTGGACCCACGCCTCTCTCGCCCCCTCGGCCGCCCGATCTTTGCTCGTCCTCGCTTCCTGGCCGTCTAGCGCCCCCCGCATTCGTCCCAGATTTCCCGCGTGCGTCCGACCCTGGAGTTTGGGGTGGGCGCCAGCTGCCCCCCACCCTGCGCCCAGCTCCGAGCCCGGGCGCGGGCGTGAAGCCGGCGCCGCCATCTTGCTTCCTGGCGGTGCCCGCTCTCGGGAGGCCGCAGTGCGCAGGTGCGGAAGTGTGTTGGCCCCGACCCTGACCGACTTCCGGTCGGCGGGGCTGCACCGGCTCCTGGTAGACGTGTAACGGGCGGTGGGCTGCGGCCATGGCCGAGAGGAAGTCTAACGGCGGCGGCGGCGGCGCCTCCGCCTCCTCGTCGGGCACGAACTTGCTCTTCTCCTCGTCGGCCACGGAGTTCAGCTTCAGCGTCCCCTTCATCCCGGTCACGCAGGCCTCCACCGTGCCGGCCTCCTTGCTCTTGCCCGGAGGTAAGCTGGGGTGGGGGTGGGGGGCGGGGGCGTCCCGGGGCCGGGGGTGTGCGGGGTGCCGGGGGGAGGCCTGGGGGACGGGGTCGCATTGCACTGGGGCGGGGGTTTCCCCTCCGCTGCCAGCCCACCGGCAGAGTGGCGGGGCGGGGCCGTCGGTGGCCGGGGGCGTGGAGACCCCCGAGGCCGGGCGTCCAGTGCTCTTTGCCCACTGTCCCCTCTGCCCGGTTTTCGGGACGCTCAGGAGCCCGGTGCTTGCAGGGAGTGCAGATGCATCGGTGGTGCCCCTCGGCGTGATCGCAGGGGGCCTCCCCTCCCCGGTGTAGACCACCTTTCTGCAGGGGAGAGGTGTGCAGAGCGCGGCTCCCCATCCTCCGAGGGGCCCACACGCAGGGAGCCCGGCAGGCCGGCCGCTCCGGGTGCACCCACCCCCGCTTCCCTGGTCAGGGCGATTTTGCCAGGCAGGTTGGCCAGACCCAGAGCCTGGTATTTGGGAATCCCAAACCGGGCCAACCCAGGCCCTGCCGGTGATTTGCTGTGTGACCTCAGGCGTGTCCCTTGGACTCTCTGTGCTTCACTGTTCCACAATGTTCGGCTCTTGGGGAAAGGAGGAGGAGGGAGCACTGTTGGCAGATCGGAGGCTGCTTTCGGTTCAGAGTGTTAAGTCAGTGGGTGTGAACTCAACGTGTCTGTGGTCTTCCTGAAGTTGGCAGCAGACTTCTGGGCTTCTTTCCTTCTTGAATTTCCCTCCCTCCCTCCCTCCCTTCCATTTTTGTTGCTCCTTCCTTCCTTCCTTCCTTCCTTCCTTCCTTCCTTCCTTCCTTCCTCCCCCCCTCCCTCCCTCCCTCCCTCCCTGGACTTCTCTTCCTTCCTCCATCCATTCCTTCTGCCCTCCCTCCCTTCTTCCCTCCCTTCCGTTTTTGTTGGACTTCTTTCCCTCCTTCCCTTCCTTCCTTCCATTTCTGTTGGACTTCTTTCTTTCCCTCCCTCCCTCCCTCCCTTCCATTTTTGTTTGGTTTTTGGGCCACCCCTGACTCTGCTCAGGGAGCACTCCTGGCAGTGCTCTGGGGATCATGTGGGGTGCGGGGGGGGGGGGGGCTGGAGATCCAACTTGGCCCTTCCCTGTGCAAGGCAGGCGTCCTCCCTTCTGTACTTTCTCTCTGGCCCCTGGACTTTCCTATTTCTAGGGTCTCGTTTAGTGCCTGGCGCCCTGATCCCCAGGAAGGTTGCATATTGGCCCAGGGAACAGGGATCAGTTAGTGTTTGGAGCACTCATGTGTCTCTCGTGGAGGAGCGCTGGGGGCCAGACTGGAGGCCTGGAAGGTTCTGCCGGTTTTTGCACCTGGTGCTGGTGCGAGTGCGCTTGTTTCTCTCAGCCTCTGTGTCGAAAGTTCCTGCAGCGCAACGTCTCAGAACATGGCCCGTATGCTGGAGATCAACTTAACTCGGCTGAGGGAGTTCAAAACAGGAGTCAGGAATACGTAGGCCTTTGGAGAGCGGGGTAGTAGGTCTGGTGGACTCACTTGGCTAGACCCGCTAGCAGTGGGAGGACACAGGAGTAAATAAGGCCATGCTTTTTGACCTGTTGTGGGTCTCCTGGTGTTTTCAGAAGGCTGGCGGCGCCCTATGTCTCCCACCGCCCTTGTTCAGTAGTCTCACGCCACTTCTTCCCCCCCCCCCCCCACCAGGTCAAATGCGATGGGCAGGCGAAGGAAGGAACGAGGGCCAGGCTGGTCGGTATCAGTTGTAGTTTATTCCAATCTTCACTCCCCTTCTGCTTCTCTCTCTTGAGCCTGAGCCCCTCTCACCTCTGACTCTGCCCTCGGGAGCCCGAGCCTCCTCCGAGCTTACCGTCTTAGTTTATACTAAGTTTATACTAAGACGGGTGGTGGTGACACAAAGGTGGGTGGAACATTAACAAATCAGCAAAGAGAGGTAAGACCACTCCTCCAGGAGATTAACTCAAGGATAAAATCTCATCTAAAGAGATTGCTCCAGATTACTAGGAGATCCGCTCAAGGGTGGGAGCCCAACGAGGGTGTGTTCTTTCCTCAGCTCGTAATCCGTTTAAATAGTTGTAGTAAATCTACTTCTAATATCTCTAGCTACGTTATTCTGTATGAGCACAGTAAGAGATATAAACTTACAGTTTGGTTCTTCCTGAGGACCTCTCACTTTATATTCTGCACATATATACATATATTTGTGTGTGTGTGTGTGTGTGTGTGTGTGTGTAGACCACAGTCCTCAGGCCAGGTTAGTCTTCCTAATCCCAGCAGGGTCCTAGTCTCGTCGTAACTTTCTGATCATGCCAGCATTTGTCCATGATCGTGCCCTCAACTTATAGTTGAGTATTGTGACGCTTTGGCCTGGCCCATTTCAATGCCAGGGTAGCTCACAGCTTGCCCTGGGTCCATTCAGTCCCTCGTTGGGACCCTGCTTTTGGGATGCTAGGAACTAAGGGCAACCGAGTCAAGAAAGCAGATGCCCAGGAGTAAATATTATTCGGAGTCAATCAACTCCTAAGTTACAAAAGCATAACATTAACTGTCTTCCTGTGTCCATACAGAAAGGACATTGCTTTAAGATGTAACTTACAAGTTCAGTGTTCTTAGAAGGATCTGATCTTATAAGCTAACAGAATCTGATTAGGGAGAAAAGGTGATTAACTGGCTGGGGAGGAGAGCACAGAGAAGAGTTTACAGATAAACAGAGGAATGGGAGTGACTCAGGAGCACTGTGATTTGTGTAACCCGATAAACCTAAGCTCCCTGTGGCGATGTTATCCTACACTCTCCCACAGTGGCTTTTTTTTTCCTTTTTCTTTTTGGGTCACACCCGGCGATGCTCAGTGGTTACTCCTGGCTCTGCACTCAGGAATTACTCCTGGTGGTGCTCGGGGGACCATATGGGATGCTGGGAATTGAACCCGGGTCAGCCACGTGCAAGGCAGACGCCCTACCCGCTGTCCTGTCACTCCAGCCCAGTGGCTTTTCATACTATCCCAGCTTCAGGAATGTTGCTTGGGTCATTCCATGTTCTTGTCTTTTTTTGTGATGTAAGAGTACTTAAGAGTATTTTTATATATTCAATAGTATGTCTGGGTGGCCACATTCGGCAGTGCTCAGGGCCGGGATTGAACCTGACTGGGCCGCATGCAAGGCAAGCACCCTGTCCACTGGGCTACCTCTGTGGCCCCAGAGGGGACTTCTAGGGCTGCACTGTTGGCCTTTTGAGTCCTTGGAGGCTGGTCAGACTCTGCGTCTGGGCCAGCTCAGGGCTGGGCCTGGCCTGCCTGTTGATTGAGATTTCCTGAGGGAGTTTTTGAGGGAGTGAGCGTTGGGGAGAGAGCCAGGGGCCTGCGTGGATATTGGCGAGTTTCATTCTTGTTTTGTTTGCTTTTTGGGTCACACCCGGTGATGCTCAGGGTTTACTCCTGGCTCTGCACTCAGGAATTACTGCCGGCGGTGCTCGGGGGACCATGTGGGATGCTGGGTTGGCTGCATGCAAGGCAAATGCCCTCCTGTGCTATCGCTCCGGCCGTTTGGCACGGAGTGGGAGCCGTCTGCCTTGCACGCGGCTGACCCGGGTTCAATTCCCAGTGTCCTGAGAGTGGTGATGTGGGACCGGGAGCAGCGGGCAGTGGCAGGGCCCAGCGCAGTTGACGCTTAGGAGGCTCGAGTCCGGGAAAAGTCAGAGGGAGTAGTTGGGAAAAAGTTACAGAAACACCTGGTGGTAGTCTTGGGCCAGGTGGGCCAGAACTGCCTTAAAGGATGAAAAACAGCCTGGAGGGTTGGTCACGCTCTCGTGGTGCAGGGGACACCTCCAGTGACATGGTCCCGGTGGCCTGGAAGAGTGGGAGCTAATGAACCTTTGCCTGACATCAGAATGGTACAAGCCAAGGGAGGGCCAGGAAAAGGGGGTTTGGTCTTTAAAGGACTTGGATAATAGCAGCGCAGGTAGGGCAGTAACCTTGCACGTGGCCGATCTGGATGCTCTCCCCCGGCACCCCATATGGTCCCTGAGCCCCGTCAGGAGTGATTCTAGAGTGCAGAGCCAGGAGTTAGCCCTGAGCACTGCTGGGGGGTTGCCCCCAAATGCCTCCCCCCCGCCCCCCGACACACTGTATTTTATTTATTTTAGTTGCAAAGAGACAGTCCAGAGGCGTATTTGCAGCAGTGCCCACAGTACCATGCCGTGCTTGTGGGAAGTGATGGTGACGTGTTCGAGAACTGACTCAGGGTTAGCCCCAAGTCAGAGCGGAGCAGTCTGGCCCAGAGGCTGAGCCCTGGACTGTGGCAGATGACCATCCTTTGGGCAGGCTCCAGGCCAGGGGCGCCCTGTGGGAGGTGAGGGGGAGACGGCCCCACAGCCCTGGGCTCCTAAAACTTGGAAAGGGAAGCCGGACTTCGGAGGTCTGGAGAGGGAAAAGGCTTTCGTTGTGCCTGCAGCGAAGGGCAGTTTGGGCCGAGAAAATCAGAAAAAAGGGCCTTGGGGTGGAAAGTGACTTTTTCTCCCAGAGAACAGGAGCTGGAGTTGGCGTTCTCTGGGGGCTTCGGGAGGGGGGTGGGGGCTGCGCTGTGGGGGGGGGGGGTTAGGGCTGGCCGGAGATGCTTGACCTACTTTTCCCTGGGAATGCAAACAGCACCTGTCCCTGTGCACAATGAGCGCTTTGTAGCCGAGGGCCCAGCGCGCCCTCTCTCTTGTCAACAGAGAAGGTCCGCTTGAGTTTCTGTGACTGGGAGTGAAGTACGCTGCGCACTTGGGGACTGCGGTAGCGGGCGAGGTACGAAAGGGAGGGGGGAGCACGTACATGTGAGTAGCTCAACATGTGGGTCATGGGCATGTTTCTATTTCTATCTCAGTTGAAAAAATCAAAAGTATTTAAATGTATATATATATATATATTTTTTTTTTTTTGCTTTTTGGGTCATACCCAGCGATGCTCAGGGGTTCCTCCTGGCTCTGCACTCAGGAATTAAACCCCTGGCGGTGCCCGGGGGACCCTATGGGATGCTGGGAATCGAACCCGGGTCAACCACGTGCAAAGCAAACGCCCTACCCGCCGTACTATCGCTCCAGCCCCCTAAATATATATTTTTAACTATAGCACGGTAATTTACAAAATTATTCCTAGTGGAGGTTTAGACATAGAATGTTTAGACATCGATCCCACCACCAGTGTCAGTTCCCTCCAGCAATGTTCCCAGTTTCCTTTATTTAAAAAAAAAAAAAAGCCATGTATATGTACATATATATACACATACACATGTGTGTATTGGTTCTTTACTCAGGGCTCGCTCGGCGGTGCTCGGGGGGAACAAATGGGTGTCGGGGGTCACCCCCAGGTTGGCTGTGTGAAGGGCAAGCGCCTTACCCGCTGTGCTCTCTCTCCGCTCCTTTCTCATTTTTCATATGGGGCCCCAGCTGGCTGTGCTCAGGGCTTTCCCCTGAGTCTGCTCAGGGATTACTCCTGGCAGTGCTCGGGGGGCCATAGGAGGTACCGAGGATCAAACCTGGGTCTGCTGTGTGCATGGCCTTATAAGCGCCTTACCACTGCACTCTCTCTCCAGCCCTTGTTTCTATTTTAAAACACTGTATTAATACATACAATTCGGGTAGGTACCAAAATGCAACCATGCTGATAATGATGGTCCCGGAGATAGGCGTTGAGTGAAGGATAGTTTCCCCTTTCCTTTCGTGGATTATTGCTACTTCTGTGGGAGGTTTTGGGGCCCCACCTGGTAGTGCTTAGTCCACTCCTAATGCTTAGGGGCCAGTTTATGGTTCCGGGGCTCAAAGCCAGGTTGGCCGTGTACAGGGCAAGTGCCCTGCCCACTACACTATCTCTCCAGCCCTGCTGCTTTTTTTTTGTTTTGTTTTTTTGCTTTTTGGGTCACACCCGGCAATGCTCAGGGGTTACTCCTGGCCTTGCACTCAGGAATTACTCCTGGCAGTGCTCAGGGCACCATATGGGATGCTGGGAATCGAACCTGGGTCGGCCACGTGCAAGGCAAACGCCCTACCCGCTGTGCTGTCACTCCAGCCCCGGCCCTGCTGCTTTTTAATTTCAGAGACAGGTGTTAGTTTTCCCTGTAACGCAAAAGTAGAAATTCTTTAGTTTTCCTCATTTTTCTTTTTTTTAATTTTTTTTGGCCCACATCATTGACTTGAGGCTCTGAACTCAGGGCCTGTTTCTAGCAGACTTCAGGACCCCTGTGGGATGCTGGGGTCGAACCTGGGTCAGCCGCGAGCAAGGCAAGCGCCCTCTCCTCTGTGTTCTCTCTCCGGCTCTTAGAAACAGAAGTCTGAACATGCGCTTGAGGGGTCCAGTTGCCCAGCGCCCGGTCTGGGGTCCTATTCACAGAAGGATGAAATACTCCTCTGTGGTCAGTGGGGGAGCCCCTGGAGGTGGCCCCGGGGCCACCCCGACCTGAGAGCTGCTTTCTGGCCCCTCCCCACCCCCCAGGACCCACCCTGGCCACCATGTCTTTTCCTGTCCCTTTGCAGATGACTCCACGGAGGTGGGCGAGGAGGACAGCTTCCTGGGCCAGACGGCGGCCCCCGCGGCGGCGCCGCAGACCTTCAGTTACTTCTCTCAGGCCTCAAGCAGCAGTGATCCCTTCGGGAGCATCGGCCAGTCGCCGCTGACCACTGCCGCCGGACAGCCTGCCTTCTCCAGGCCGCCCTCGGGCCTGCCCTGCCCCGCGGGCGCCCAGGACCCCGCGAGTGCCTTCGTGCCGGCCGGCCCCAAGGCTCCGTTCGGTGCTCCGTCCCCGGCACCCCTGGGCGTCAGCACCTACCCGCCGTCTCAGCCCGGCAGCCTCCCTCCGGCCTTCGGCAGCCCCCCGCAAGGCGCGCCCCCGCAGGGGTACAACCCCTACCGCCACACGCCCGTCAGCAGCCGGGCCAACCCCTACCTCACGCCACCGCAGCTGCAGCAGTGCCAGGCCCCCGCCGCGCCCCTCCAGCCTCCGCCCGCGGGAGGACCCCCGGTGCACATGTATCAGGCACCTCCTGGGTCTGTGCCCCCGGTAAGCGGCCGCACCCCCACCGCCCCTTTCTTCCCCCTGGCTCACCTCCCCCTATCAAAACACTTTTAATTTTTTTTTTAGGTTTAGACTGATTGTATTTTTTTTTTCTTTTTTTCTGGGTCATACCTGGCAGTGCACAGGGGTTACTCCTGGTTCGTGCACTCAGGAATTACTCCTGGCAGTGCTCGGGGGACCCTGTGGGATGCTGGGAATTGAAGCTGAGTCGGCCGCGTGCAAGGCAAACGCCCTCCCCGCTGTGCTCTTGCTCCAGCCCCAGGTTTAGATTGATAGATTGATTTTTAAAATCGATTTATTATTTATTTTTTGATTTTTGGGCCACGCCTGGAGATGCCCGGGGCTTCCTTCTGGCTCGGCACTCAGGAGTCACTCCTGGTGGCGTTTGGGGGACCCTGTGGGGTGCCGGGGCTGGTGCAAGGCCTCACAGGACGCTCTGGCCCCAACGCTCTCTTCCACTTGATCGGGTGTGGCATTGCCAGAGGGTGTTCTCTTGTAAGCTTTTGTGCTTTGAAGGGAACATTATTTTGTTGTTTGATTTTGGGGCTGTGCCTGGTGGTGCCCCAGCACAGCTCCTGGCTCTGGCGGTACTCAGGACCGGGCCGATTCTGGGGATCGAACCAGGGATACCTCCAAACAAAGCGTGGCTTCGCCACTGAGCTCCATCTCTGTTTTTACTTATTTATTTATTTATTGCTTTTTGGGTCACACCCAGCAATGCACAGGGGTTTATTCCTGGTTCATGCACTCAGGAATTACTCCTGGCTGTGCTTGGGGGACCATACGGGATGCTGGGAATCGAACCCAGGTTGGCTGCGTGCAAGGCAAAGGCCCTACACGCTGTGCTATCGCTCCAGCCCCTTATTTTTATTTTTTGGGAGGGAAGGGCACCACCTGATGATGCTCAAGGGTTTTTCTTGGCTCTGCTGCCCTCAGGAATTGCTCCTGGCCATACTCAGGGGATGCCGGGGTTTGAACCGGGCATTGGCTGTGTACAGGGCAGGCTGTTCTTTCTGAGGGCTGCCTCTTTGGCTGGCCTAAAACATTTTCTTTTTGTTTTTGCTTTTTTGGGTTTTTGGGCCATACTGAGCAGTGCTCAGGCTTACCTCTGGCCCTGTGCTCATGTGTCACTCGGATGGTGCTCAGGGGCCTGACTATATGCAGTGCTGGGGCCATCCATCCAGGCTTGGGTGCCTGCAAGGAAAGCGTCTTTACCGTGGGACCCTCTCTGGCCTGTTCCTGGCACCCAGATGGTCCCCTGATTCTTTTTTTTTTTTCTTTGGCTTTTTGGGCCACATGGCGATGCTCAGGGCTTACTCCTGGCTCTGCACTCAGGAATTACTCCTGGTGGTGCTCGGGGGACCGTATGAGATGCCGGGGATCGAACCCAGGTAGGCCGCGTGCAAGGCAAACGCCCCCCCTGCTTTACTACCAACCGCCACCCCGATTCTTTTGGATTTTTTGTTTTGGGCCACACACAGCAGTCCTCAAGGTTACTCCTGGCTCTGTACAACGCTTGCAATAGTTCTCAATAGTTACTCCTGGCGGTGCTTGGAGAACCATGTGGGATGCCAGAGATTGAACCCAGGTTGGCCATGTGCAAGGCAAGTGCCCTATCCGCTGTACTTCACTTCGGCCCCAGTTTTGTTTGTGTTTGGGGAGGCCACATCGGCCAGTGCTAAGAGCTTACTCCTGGCTCTGTGCAATGAGATCACTCCTGGTGGGGTGCAGGGAATCATCTGTGATTCTGAGCATAGAGCCTGCGTCCGCTACATGCAAGACAAGTGCCCTCCCTCTTCGACCTTGGCAGTAGTAATTGATTTTAGGTAATTAACTATATGCCACTATTTCCAGATTTTTAATGTGGGATGCCAGCATTAAGTGTCATCTAAGGACATGTGAGAGTTGAAGTAATTATCAGCAGACTGCCGACTTCTTATTTTTTAATTATCCTATTCAGTCAGAACACGCAATTACAGAGCCTAAAATTGATTACACCAATAGTTCCTTTTATTTACATTTATGGAGTTTGGATCTAGACAGTCCTCTCTCAGGAGAGTACTGAGATAACATTTATTTGCATGAGGTAATTTTATAAAACTCCCTTATACTTTCCCCCCAACCAATTATTCACTGATTTTCAAAGGGAACCCAGTGGACTTAAAAAAAGGAAATAATTAGAAGAATGAATCCAACTCAGTGGAACAGTTAGTAGTAATATAATCACAGTATTTATCCCCGCTAAGCTCTTGGGGATTGGGAATGAGCTCTGTCTTGTCATTAATTTAAATCATACCAATATAAGATCTCGGTAATACTGAAGTTTAACATGTTGCAAAGTGATCCGATTCATCAGATGAAAAGGCTATTTTTTGTTTGTTTATGGGCCATACCTGACGATGCTCTTGGCTCCACACTCAGGAGTCACTCCTGGAGGGGTTCAGGGACCATCTGGGATGCTGGGGATCGAATCTGGGGTGGCCTTGTGCAAGACTATTACCTGCTAAGACCTTACCTGCTAGACTGTTGCTCTGGCCCCTGAAGAGTTTAGTACAGGAGTTTTGCTAAAAAGGTTTTTGAAGATTTCTTACAAGTTAAAAAAATGGTAACTCTGGGCCCGGAGAGACAGCTAGGGACAGCAGGGGACGAGGCACTTGCCTTGCGTGCAGCTGAGCCTGGTTTGATTCTCGGCACTCCTGAGATATGTACGGTCCCCTGAGCATAGAGCCAGGGGCTTTCCTGGTACGTCGTGGGGTCACTTCTGTCGTTGCTCTGGGATCATGCAGGGCCGGGCAATCCAGACGGCTGTGCACACAGTATGCGCGTGAGCCCTCCAACTGATTCTCAGCCCCCAAAAGCCTTTTCATTTGAAGTTCCTTTTTTTAAAAAACAAAAACAAGAAACAAAACCCTTGAGATCCTGTGGCTTACAATGCTGATAATAATGGTTTCTTATGCTCCTAAGTCCAACACCGCCCCCATCCCAGTGTACACATCTCCCTCCTCCAAGGAGGGTGCTATATTCACCAAAACTGTGCTTTGGGACCTAGTGATTAAACTAAATGGTGGTTCCGAAAGATCTATAGGGTAATTATCAATAATGTCAGTTTGCGTCTGTTTGTTTGGGGGCCACACCTGGTGGTGGTGTGCAAGGCTCACTCAGGGCTCACTCCTGGCGGGGCTCGGGAGACCATCAGGGATGCCCGGGACCGAACCTGGGTCAGCCGCGAGCAAGGCAAACACCCGACCCGCTGGACTACCGCTCCAGTCCCTCAGTTTGAGTCTGGAACTTGGCGGGGCCAGGGTGATGGATGGTACAACGGGTAGGATGTTAGCCTTGTAAGTGGCTGACCAAGGTTCCATCCCTGGCACAACGTGTGGTCCTCAGCCTCTCCAGGACTGATCCTTGGATGCAGAGCCAGGACTGAGCTCCTAAGTGCCCCCCCCCCAAAAAAAAGGTGCTTTGGAGAAACGTGCCGACCCTGATTTTGTGTGCCTGCAGGTTCCCGGGGTCGTGCAGCCGGGCCTGCCCCCTCCGACGGCGCAGCAGGCCCTCGCCCGGCTGACGGGCCCCTCGGTGCAGCCGCCGCCCCCGTTCCTTCCCCAGAACCAGTACGAACCTGTCCGGCCCCACTGGTTCTACTGCAAGGAGGTGGAGCACAGGCAGCTGTGGCTGGCTTTCAGCGCGCTGGATTCTCTGAACCTCGAGGAGACCTATAATTCAGGTAAGTGCCCAGCGTCATCCGTCATTTGTGTCTACTCTTTGGGACTGAAGAAGTGAAGAGCGTGTCTCCACCACCTGGGTTTTTATTTTTTTATTTTTTTTTAATCTTTGGGTCACACCTGGCAATGCACAGGGGTTTCCCCTGGCTCTGCACTCAGGAATTACCCCTGGCGGTGCTCAGGGGACCATATGGGTTGCTGGGAATCGAACCCGGGTTGGCCGCGTGCAAGGTAAATGCCCTACCCGCTGTGCTATTGCTCCAGACCCCCCCCCTTTTATTTTTATAATGTCAAATCTCTTAAACTGTGAAACTCACAGGGCTGTAACCTGAGACGGTGTTACTGAGAGGAGTCCCAAGTGATCAGGGTATTTGTTTATTGTAGTTTTCTTCTTTGCGAACAGAGTTGTTAAGCCAGAAATAGTCGGTATAGTCAATCTCAGTGTCATTGTTCCTGTCTGCCTCACTCCTTATAATGGGCACATTGATGAAGCATTTTCTGTGGAATCCTTTTCCTGAAGATGCTCTGAGAAATTGAAACTAGAGGGCGCTGAGCTTACTAAGATGTCAGGTGAAAAAGACTTAATTCTGTATGATCTCACAGCGTGGAGAGAAATGCATGAACCAAGTCATAAAAAATTTAGACTCAAAGAGCAAGTAGTTGTTACTTAGAAGGGAGCAGGGACAGAGGGTGAGTATAGTGGGTAGAAAGGTCAGTTGACTGATGACGAGATTTAGACTTTGAGTTTTGAACTTACTGTACTGTAGACACATGTTGCTCTTAAACATTCTTGATGGCAAACACCCTTAACTTTATAACCTCCCGGCATTACTTTCATCAGCATTCTAGCCTAATTCAAAATTAGGCTAATTTTGAAAATGCTGTAATAGGGGGCTGGAGCAATAGCATAGTGTGTTTGCTTTGCATGCGGCCGACCTGGGTTCGATCCCCAGCATCCCATATGGTCCCCTGAGCGCTGCCAGGATAACTCCTGAGTGCCGAGCCAGGTGTGAACCCTGAGCATTACCCGATGTGACCCAAAAACAATGAAGAAAAAAAAGGAAAGAAAATGCTAATATATATATATATATATATACACTTCATTTTCTTTGCTTTGGGCCACCCCCGGCGATAGATGCTCAGGGGTGACTCTTGGCTCTGCACTCAGGAATCACTCCTGGTGGTGCTGGGGGACCTTACGGGGTACCAGGGATCGATCTCAGGTCAGCCGTGTGCCCGGCAAATGCCCTTCCCCGCTGTGCTATTTCTCCGGCCCCTGTGGCTACTTCTTTTTTTTTTTTTTTTAATTTGGAGGGTTTTTGAGGGAGGAGAGACAGAGGGAGAGAGAGAGAGCGCGAGAGAGCGCGAGAGAGAGCGAGAGAGAGAAAGAGGAAAGAACCCGGGCTTCTCCAAGGGCGGAGAGAGCCCCTAGGCACATCCCAGTATTAGACACAAAAGCCTGAAAGTCCACATCTCAAGAGGGGAGATGTGGGCGACACATGTGCTCAGCCATGTGGGCGCAGGCAGCACACGTACTCGGGCAGCATATGCGCCTGTGGCCACTTCTTGAGGTGGACAGTGCGTAGGGATGTGCTAAGGCTGAGAAGTCCCCGAGCAGAGACATTTCTTGGTGAGCTTGTTTCTCCTGATTGTTTCTTGTAATGGGGTTTTAAAATGGCCTTTTTGTATATCCCCACCTTTTTCTTGGTGGTGGTGGTGGTGGTAACCGCCTCTCTCGGTGCTCAGGGTTTACTCGTGGCTTTGTGCTCAGGAGCCCCTCCTGGAAGGCTCGGGAGACCCTGTGGGATGGCGGGACTGACCATGTGGACTTTGTGCTCCAGTCCAGCCGGACCCCGAGAGCGTGGTCCTGGCCACCGACGGAGGCCGCTACGACGTCCACCTCTATGACCGGATGCGGAAGGCCGTGTACTGGGAGGAGGAGCCCACCGAGGTGCGGCGCTGCACCTGGTTTTACAAAGGTGACACGGACAGCAGGTTCATCCCCTACACGGAGGACTTCAGCGAGAAGCTAGAGGTGCGTGGCTGGTCCTGCCCCGTCCCCTCCACAGGAAGGCGCACTCAGTGCCGCCGTCCTCAGGCTCCTTGGGCACAGCACAGGCTGCTGATGTCCTTGTGCTGAAGCCTGGGATGGTCACAGCACCAGGCAGGACTCCAGGAAGGAGTGACCTCGGGTGTTCGCAGTCACTCTGGACAGTCAGAGGACTTCCGAAGTTCCTTAGACCTGGGAGTAATATTGTCTTACATGGTCCAGCTAATTTCTTTTTTGTTGTTGTTGTCTTTTGGGTCACACCCGGCAATGCACAGGGTTACTCCTGGCTCTGTACTCAGAAATTACTCCTGGTTGTGCTTGGGGACCCAGTGGGATGCTGGGACTCGAACTGGGTCAGCCGTGTGCAAGGCAAATGCCTTACCCGCTGTGCCCAGCCCCAAAGTTCTGTTCCTTTCTTAAGTGTGGATTCTCCTGAACCCTGGCGTGTCCGTGCGCGCACAGCACCTGTGGGCCATGTGCGAGACCCTAGGCCCTGCGCCTCTGTGTTCATGATCACTCATGTTCATGGAGGCTAGCATCCCCTGTGCGCACCTAAACATGACGACAAGTTGCCTTCATGCATTCTGCGAGTCACACGTTAAGTGTCTCCCGACAGCTTCCCCGAGCTCAGAGGGCCAAAAGTACCTGTCTACAGGGGGAGGTGTGGCTGGGGGGGAAAGAGCCCAGGATTAAGTACTTGAAATAAACGAACTCAGAAGTTTGCTTACATGGGAAACAGAATGCTTTTTAGTCACTATTTTTTGGATGTTGTTACTAAACTTGCAGTTTAATAACACTAATATAAAAATCGCAAGGGCCCTCTGAAATGTTGGTCCTCCTTAGCGTCATGATTTGAGTAGGTGCCGGCAGAGATTTCTGTTTGGACGGGCCTTGGTGCTCAGGGCCAGACAGTGCTCGGGGGGCCCTACCTGGGAGTGCTCGTCCTGGCAGTGCTCCCACTGGCCCACCCTTGCTGACGTGGTGGCGCTGCTCTATCTCCCATGAGCTGGAGGTCACCAGGGCCTCATTGTGGTGCAGGGGCGCAGTGCAGCGCGGATGGTGCCAGGGATAAAGTTCAGGGCATCCTGTGTGCCAGGGCCGCACTGTGGCCACCTGAGCCCTCTCATCCTCATCCTCATCCTCATCCTCCCCTGGAGGTTTATTGTCTGTGGAGGAGCCACCAGTCGGGTTACATTGCTCGTTGACTAATTTCCCCAATTTTTCTTTCATGAGGAACATAATATGATGGATAGAAGAAGAACAAATCACAATCCCGTTAACGTGTCAAACTATGCTCTGCAGTAGAGCACTTTTATTTATTTATTTATTTTGGGGGAGGGGGGAGGTCATGAGGGACACATCTGGGGGTGCTCAGGGCTTACGCCTAGTTTGTTGCTCAGGGATCACTCCTGACAGGGCTCAAGGATCGTATGGGGTGCTGGGCTCGAACCAGGTGTGCGAGGCAAATGCTCTATTGTTGTTCCAGCCTCTGCAGTAAACCATTTTTTTGTACATTAATCTTTAGATTTTTCCTTTATCCCCCACAGCTGCTACAATTGTACATTTGCTTAAAAAAAATTATACCATTTCCCTTCCCATTTTTGTTGTTTTGGTGACAAGAGGTCACACGTGATTATGGTGTTCGCACACTGCAGGTGCGATGCATGCAGGGTGCACCCTTTGTTGTGCTGTGCCCAGAGATACCACACGTGGGGGTGGTTTGATGATTGAGTTTGTGGCTTCCTGCTTCCAATGCTTCCAAGGCAGACACTGCCACAAGCTCTCCTTGGTCCCATATTTTCTGTAGCTCCTTTTTAAAATTTATAAATGCAGTTTTTTTTTTCCCTTTTGTGGTGGTTGGGGGTTTGGGCCACGCCCAGTGGTGCTCACTTTGTGGTTTTGGGCCACATTCTGGCTCTGCACTCAGGAATCGCTCCTGGCGGGGCTTGGGAGGCCATATGGGGTGCAGGGCATTGAACCCAGGTCAGCCATGTGCAAGGCAAATGCGCTTCCTGCTGTACTGTCGCTGCGGCCCCTATAAATGTACTTTTTGGGCATTGCTAATTGTGTCCTCTCTGGGAGTATTGATTTTTATAGTGATGACTAAACTGTTCTAGAGACAAATTGATACCGAAAGTTTGCCCATGGTAAGACGAATACTGTGGGTTTTCCTTCTTTCCTTCCTTCCTCCTTTCCTCCCATCCTTCCTCCTCCCTCTCCTCCTCCTATTTTTCTGGCCATATCCAGCAGTGCTCATACTTGCTTCCAAACTGGTGCTCAGGGGATCATGTGTTGGTACATGCTATGCAGGAGACTTCCATATTTTTTCTTCTTCCTTTGGCGGTTGTGCCACGCCCCACCATGCTCAGGGATGGTCCCAGCGGATTCTGGGGCTCATACGTGACGCTGGTTATCAAATTGGGCAGTGCAAGACTTAAACCCTTCTTTTATCTCTTGGGCCCGAAGTTTTCTCATTTCAACCCATACTAAATACTTTTTATGCTGAAGTGTGGTACGCACCTTGGTAGTGTGCCATCATGAGCCATTGAAGAAGGAAAGGTCCCTGGTCTGAAGGCTGCTCAGGGTAAAGGGGCTCGCTGGGCACGGGGCCAGCCCTGGCTAGTGTCCTGGCCCCATATTCCTGGCTCCAGAGTACCCCAGGAGCGATTCCCAGCACAGAGCTGGGAGTAGCCCCGGAGCACCTCCAAGTATGGGCCCCTCACCCCCTCAATATTAAAAAATAAAAAGGTACATTTGTTTTTCTTTTTGGGTCACACTCGGCGATGCACAGGGGTTACTCTTGGCTCTGCACTCAGGAATTATCCCTGGCGGTGCTCAGGGGACCCTATGGGATGCTGGGAATCGAACCTGGGTTGGCTGCGTGCAAGGCAAATGCCCTACCCACTGTGCTATTGCTCCAGCCCCAAAAGGTATTTTTCATAGCCACACAAAAGTACCCTGTGGGGGCTGGAGAGATAGCTCAGTGGACTGAGTGGGTGCTTTGCATGCTGGGCTCAACCCCGTACCATGTTACCCTCCCACCCCCCACTGCTGGGAAGTGACCCCCAGGCACCCCTCCGCCTCCCCTCGCCCCCCAAGTCCTATAGGCTAACTAAGAAAAAAGTCAGAGGTTTATGATATCTATGGAGGAAAAACATAAAACAGAGTTGAAGGGCATAAAAGAGAACCTCAAGGAATGGGCTCTATGTTCTGCTCGTAGATTGATTATTTCAATATGATAAAAGATGTCAGTTCCTGCCAACTTATTTTAGAAGGTTCAGCTACTCTGTCACGGCAGTTATTTTTAGGGAACATTTGGAAACTGCGCCGAAGTTTTTTGTGAAAGGTCGGAGTGTCAAGATGACCATGGACCATTTTCGTTTGGTTTGGTTTTGTTTGGGGGCAGCTCCTGGCTGTGTGTGCTGAGGCTTACTCCTGGCAGGTTCTGGGGTGCCGGGGATGGAACCGGGGTTGGCGATGCCCTACCCTGCGGTGCTCAGGGAGCCGTGCGGGTGGCGCCGGGCACTGGATCCAGGTGGCATATGCTTTCCTCCCTTTGAGCATCCTTCAGCCCAATCTCTTGTTGTCTTGTGTTTCTTCTCTTTTCCTTGTCTTTTTGTTTAGTGTTTTGGGCCACATCCAGCTGTGCTCAGGGCTGATCCTGGCTCTGCACTCAGGGATCCCTCCTAGTGGGACGTGGAGGGATCATATGGGATGCCAGGGGTTGGCCCTGTGCAAGGCCGGTGCCCTCCCTGCTGTACCGTCTCTCTGGTTCCCTGTGTTCCTTTTCCTGTGATGTCAGGGATGGAGTGAGTTCTCGTGTGTGCAAGACTCGCACGTTGCCATTGAGGCCCACCCCCGGCCCCCAGGATCATTTTCCTGTATTCAGACTTGCTCCCCTTGACAAGATTTACTATAGAGCTGTGGATTGGAAGGACACGGGGAAGTGGAAACAATTCTCAAGATGACAAAACCTTTCTTCTTTCGTAAGACATTTTTATAATGATTGTTTGTTAAGAGCTGCAGATAATTGTTTTAAAAGAAAAGGAGCCAAGTGAGGAAGAAGAGGGTTGGCTGCGCAGAGGGCCGTCACTGAGGGCTGCCCAGGAGGCAGACAGACGGACTCCTCCCTGGAGTGGGCCCCTGGCAATCTCGTTACTAATCGAAGGACTTTAGACAGTGGCCATGCCAGATGGTCTCTCCCCTGTCTTGGCATCTTGTTCCGGGTCACAGAGAGGTTTGCCTCCTGCGCAGGGCTGAGTACCTCGAGGATAACAGGAAAATGGGAGGACAAGGGCCACAAGGCTTTGGAGTCACGAACCGGGGTGGCGCTGGGCCGCAGTTCTTGTTTTTCTTTTTTTTTTTTTTAGGGGGCTATGCTCAGCAGTGCTCAGGGGTTATTCCTGGTTCTGTACTCAGGAATCACTCCTGGCAGGACTCCGGGGACTTTAGGGGATGTCAGGGATCAAACTGCATGCAAGGCAAATGCCCTCCCCGCTGGGCTGTCGCCGGGCCCGAGTAAGCTGCAGTTCTGCCTTTGCTCCTGTGAAATAACTGCTGGGACTGAACTTGGTCTCCAGAGACAGGCTGAGTCCTCTCCTCGGGTCTGCAGGCAGAAGTAGGCGGGGAAGGTGCTGTTGCAGGTATGGCCAGGCTGGTCAGACTGGGTGAGGGTGTCCAGTGTGAGTGGGATCCCCAGGGACATTGTTGGGACAGCGGATGCCCCGTGGAAGTGGAGGCAGGGGCCACTGTAGGTCGCCGTGGCAAACCCCCGGAGACAGGGCCTCTGTCCCGTGCTCAGAGGAGCAAGGCCTTGCTGATGCCTCGGGCCCAGGCTGCCAGCCTCCCGCACCAGAAAGGGCCGGGGAGATGGTGCAGTGGGTACCGCTCAAGCCTGTCAAGAAGGCAGCATCTGTCCTGACCATCCCGAGAGACCAATCGGCTTCCTAAACCTTGGTTCCCTCCATCTGATGGGTGCCGTGTGGTGGAGGAGTGACTGAGGACATGGGGACTGTATACAGAGTGACTCCGAGCAGAGAAGGGAACGCGCTTCCCAGTACGACTTTCTCCACGCTTACCGGCTTCCTCCCGCTCTCGCAGGCCGAGTACAAAAAGGCGGTGAGCACCAACCAGTGGCATCGCAGGCTGGAGTTCCCCAGCGGAGAGACCATCGTGATGCACAACCCGAAGGTAAGGGTGCCCGGACGGGGTGGCCGTGCTCGGGATGGCTGGGTCAGCATCGCCGAGGGCGGCTGGGCCAGGAGTGAGATTAGTACTGTTATTTTTGGTAGTTGATGCAGTTAACAAGTGCCTCATTGTAAAATTTGCTATCAATTCATATGGCTCACAGGAACAAAAATGGAATTAAGATTTTAATGACTGGGGGCTGGAGCGATAGCACAGCGGTAGGGCGTTTGCCTTGCACGCGGCCAACACGGCCGACCCGAGTTCGATTCCTCCGCCCCTCTCGGAGAGCCCGGCAAGCTACCGAGAGTATCTCGCCTGCATGGCAGAGCCTGGCAAGCTCCCCGTGATGTATTCGATATGCCAAACAGAGTAACAACAAAGTCTCCAATGGAGACGTTACTGGGCCCGCTCGAGCAAATCGATGATCAACGGGAGAGCCTTTAATTAATTTAATTAATGTGACAGTGTATATATATGTATATTTATTTATACTTGTTTGTTTTAGTATTATGAAATTTATGTTCACTAGAACATGTTAGCTGAAGTTTTATATGTCATTGTGTCTGAACCACACGCCTTATGGCCCCTGTCAGCCTCAACAGGTGAAACTCCAGAAAAGGGGGTGCCGTGGCCTGGACATGGGGACCACTAGCAGGTCGGGGGGGCCCTGGAAGGAATAAAGGTCACAAGGGGCCACAGTCGGAACAAAGGCTGAGAAGTACTGATGTTCAGCATAGAAATCACTTTGACTTTGACTAGGGGCTAGTAGACTTTTTTTAAAGAACAAAAGAAGTGGGGCTGTCGCCTTGCACCAGCATCCCATATGGGCCCCTGAATGCCACCAGGAGTAATTCCGGAGTGCAGAGCCAGGAGTACCCCTGAGCATTGCCAGAAACTGAAAACCAACATCTGACGACAACAACAAAAGCAGTAAATACTTAGGGTTCTGTTTTGTTTTTCCCTGGTTTGGGGTCCTCACCTGGCGGTGCTCAGGGATCCCTCCTGGTCTGGGGCTCGAGGGACCAGTTGGTATCATCAGTGTTGAACCTGGCTTGTGTACCACTGAACTACCGTGCCAGCCTGATTAAAGCGTTTTGAATGCAGCTTCAGAGGGTGTAAAACAACGGGCTAGGGTGGGGGCAGGAAGGGGCACGCCAGGGGGTCCTCAGGGAGCATGAGGTGCTGGGTCCAAACACGAGGCTCCTGCATGAGAACTGCGGGTCTGCGCTTTGAGCTCTCTCCCAGGCCTTGGGCTTGGCTATTTTTGGTGAACCTTTATGAGCACAGGTGGCGGCCAGATTTGCCTGGTGGGCTGTGGTTTGCCCACCCTGCTCTTGACGGTAGTTTGTTTTGGCCTTAAAAGTAAAAAAATGAAAAATGTTTCTTTTTACATTTGTATTTTTTCCATAAACTTTTCTTATCTATTTTTTAAGGATATTGATCAGTAGTTAGTGGCTAAGTGGCTACATTCTTGCATTTTTATATATATATATATATATATTTTTTTTTTTGGTGGGGGGTGGAGCCCACCTGCAGTGCTGGGGTTGGGGGTTCTTCTGGCTTTGCATTTGGTGCTCAGGAGGAGGTTCTGGCACGACTCAGAGATCACGCAACTCTTTTAGCCTCTCACCTGAAGGAAACCTTGCCGTCTGTCTTTTGAGCGGCTTCTTCCAACCCTCATTTATTATTCTTGGTTTTGCTTTGGGGCCACACCTGGTGGTGCTCAGGGGACCAGACGCAGTTGCTGGGAATTGAACCTCTGTTGGCCTTACTTGTCCTCTGGACTCTCTCTCTTGCCCTCCTTTATCAGTCTTATCTCAGCTCCAGGCTCCTCCCCCTGAGAGGAGAAATAACTTCCCGTGTCATTGTAGGCGATGTAATGATGTCACATAACTTAGACTGAGCCTGTGGCTTGCACAGTTCCCTCCCAGGCAGCCTGTGGCCACAGAGCTGTGCATTCTAGTATGTTCTAGTAAGTGCTTTCTTAGTATCTATTATCTTGTTATCTATTCCAGGACCATGTAAAAGAGTATAACAAAATACTGGACTTGGACCACCTCTATAGTCCTCAGTAAAATAAGAATCAGATTTGCGGGGCATCAGATGGAAAGAGCCTTCCCCTCTTAGGCCGCAGCTTCTCTGAAGGAGGCTGCTCGGCCTCTCAGTGCTCTTGCTTCTGTGCCGCACCTGGCTGTGTGTGCTCAGGGCTGGCTCCTGGCTCTGTGCTCAGGGATCACTCCCAGTGGGCTTGGGAGGCCGTATGTGATATTGGGGATCGATTGTGGGTTAGCCGAGTGTAAGGCAAGTGCCCGGTCTGCTGCACTGCCTCTCTGGCCGTGGCCCCCAGTTTCCTACTTCCTGTTGGGGTGGGAGGGGGTGCTGGTGGGTCACAGCTATGCTCAGGGCTCACTCCTGGCTCGGTGCTCAGGGAACCATATGTGGTGCTGGGGACTGGACCCGTGTCAGCCGTGTCCGACGAACCCGTTGTACTGTCTCCTTGCCCCTATCTTTATTTTTGTTTTGGGGCCATGCCGGGCAGTGCTCAGGGGTTACACCTGACTCTTTACTAAGGGATCACTCCTGGTGGGCTCAGTGGACCCTATGGGATGCCGGGGATCGAACCTGGGTTGGCCTTGTGCAAGGCAAATACCTGACGTGCTATACCATCTCTCTGGCCCCAAAACTACTCAATTTCGTTCTTCCTTTTCTTCTTTTTTGTTTTTGGGCTGGCAGTACTCAGGGATTATTCCTGGCTCTGCGCTAAGGGACCATGTCTGGTGCTGCCCTGGAGGCAATACAGGGTGCCAGAGATTGAACCTGGGTCAGCTGCTTGCAAGGCAAGAGCCCTACTCGCTCAACTCTCTTTCTGGTCCCCTCTTTTTTCTCTTCCAGTCTCAGCGATGGGTCCGGGGCTTCACGAACCAAACAGGGCAGACGCTCTCCCACTGTACCACGTCCTGCCCCAGGCTTATTGTTTCTGATTAGTCGGGTTGTTTTTGGGCATTAGCACAGGGACACTGTCATGATGTGTTTCATGTTTATTGAACGTTAGCAGGACTCTGGAGAAAGGGTCGGGGGAACAGCCCTTCAGCCTTCTTCCTGGCGATGTGCTGGAGTGAGTCATTTGCCTGTCGTGGAGGCCCCGTCAGCATCGCTCCCTGTTTCCCGCAGGTCATCGTCCAGTTCCAGCCGTCGTCAGTGCCAGACGAGTGGGGGACCACGCAGGACGGGCAGACGCGGCCCCGCGTGGTGAAGCGCGGCATCGACGACGACCTGGATGAGATTCCCGATGGTGGGTACGGGTTGTTGGGGCATCACACGTCCTGTGGCAGCGTTGTTGCTCGGACAAACAGTGGCCAGCATCACTGCGAGGAAATCAGCCAGATGGGCACAAATCTTCCTTCCATTTAAATTAAAAAAAAATTTGACGGACGTTTAGGTGCCACGGTTCCGACCATGGTCAGTGTTGATGGCTTTGATGTGCCGAGCTGCTGCACTGTCACGGGAGTGCCTGGACCGTCCCCTGCCCTTCTGTGTCCTCCCACTCTGCCTCCGTTCCTCCCCGTCCCTGGCCATGAAGCTTCCTTTTTAACTTTTTTTTTAATTATTTTATTTTATTTTTTTTTTGGCTTTTAGGGTCACATCCAGCAATGCACAGGGTTTACTCCTGGCTCTGCACTCAGCAGTTACTCCTGGCGGTGCTCAGGGGACCATATGGGATGCTGGGAATCGAACCTGGGTTGGCCGCGTGCAAGGCAACCGCCCTACCCGCTGTGCTATCTCTCCAGCCCCTCCTTTTTTAACTTTTATCTGTTTTTCAGTTTAGAATTCTGGGGAAAATACAACTTGTAATAGAGATTCTAAAATATGGGTTGTCCTCCTTCCTTCCTTTTTTCCTTGGTTTTGGGTCACGCTTGAGTCTGAGACAGTGTGCCTTTGAGATACACCCCTTGCCCCCTCTCCCGCCGCTGATATAGGTGTTTTCGTGGAGCTGGAGTGATAGTACAGCGGGGAGAGCCCTTGCCTTGCACGTGGCAGACCCCGGTCCAATCCCCGACGTCCCGTATGGTCCCTCATGCATCACTGCCAGGAGTGATCCCTGAGTGCAGAGCCAGGAGTAAGCTCTCAGCTCCATGGGGATGAATCCTCCCCCCTCCCACCCGCCTTCAAGAATATTGCTGATTGAAAGCTTCTTGCAATTTTTTTGGAACTTGTTTTGTCATGCCTCATCTAGCTTGTTATTAATTAGTGCAAGAGGCAGGAAGCTTTTTCTGTAAAACCCAGTTGGTGGGCCCGGAGAGACGACAGGCGGGAGCATATGCTTTGCTCGCCGGCAGCTGGGTTCAGCCTCGGCACTGCATGGCCAGGTCCCCGGCACTGCCGTTGTGACATTGAAGCGTCCAACCGGGAAGACCATCAAGCATCGCCAGGTGTGGCCCCAAAATGGAAAAAACAAACAAAAAAAATGACAAAATAAACCAAAAGGATAAAACAACAGAAAAACTTTGTAGTAAAAATTTTAGACTTTTCGTTCGGTTCATATGGACTTTGGCGCCTCATCTCAGCATGCGTTTATGGACTTGTCTGTATAAGTGGGCATGACTGTGTGCTCGGAAATGTTGTTTTATAAAAACAGGCCATGAACATGGTTTGCCAACCCCTGTGTCTATGCTTTGATTTCTCCTATTAATGCCTTTTGAAGTCCGAATTTTACTTGACAGTTACTTTGCTGGTAACTTTATTGTTTCATGAGATTGCAGAGTAGGCCAGAGAGAGAGAGAGAGTATGAGGGGCCGGACACTTGCCTTGTGTGCAGTGTGGGCCCAACCCCTCCCCCCCCCCGCCACCACCATCTCCCCCCAAACTAGACGTCTCAAAGCAATTAAAAAACAAGTAAAATAGATTTTCTTGGACATGTTCCTGAAGCGAGGGTGAACCCAACGGAAGTGGGACGTCGCAGGGAAGGATTTGGAGGAAAGAGTTTTCTTCCTCCTGTGGGCAGGTCTCGTGGCCCAGTGGGTCCTGCACAGTCGCAGGTCCAGGGGCCTCTGGAGGTGGACACTGTCTATTGAGTACACAGCTCATTCCATGTTTGGTCCAGTTCACTGTTGGCCCCCAGGCTGGACCATGAACTTTGTTCTCTCTTGGCTGGAGGGTTATGACGCTTATGGGACAGGAAAAGTTACGGAGTTGGGGGTTCGGGCTGAGGGGAGCTGGACTCTTGCTCTTCAGTGAAGGCGCGAGGTGGGCCCGGCGTGTGTGTCCGTGTACTCGGGGTGAACGTGCTTGTGCTTCTTTGCAGGGGAGCGGCCTCAGGTGGACCACCTGGTCTTCATGGTACACGGCATCGGGCCCGTGTGTGATCTGCGCTTCAGGAGCATCGTTGAATGCGGTAAGTTCCCGAGGATGGGATGGTTCCAGAGCTATCGGGAACGCTGTCCGTCACATGTGGCTTTCTAAGATCGTCTCCGGCCATTGACTGCCGACTGAAGGGGATAAGGAGAGTCCATCAAATCGCTACACTGGGAAATAATGTGTACTTGGTTTTCCTTATGGCGTACAGAACCCAGAGGGTCTTGGCCTGGGAAGAATGGGGAGTGCTGGTGGGAAGTAGTGTGTCACTTTCCCGACAACTTCCGGGTGAGCTGTTGCAGCCGCTCGGAACAGCTGTGGCTTAAGCTGATGGATAGTGAATTCACGGAGAGGAATCGTTTCATGGATGTACGTGCCTTCCTGGTTTCCTTTCCTTTTTGAACTCTCAGTCTGACAGTGGCAGGAGAATCATTCATGTTATTGAATAGTTGACGTGGGTCAGGTGTGTGGGTGGATTATTTCGGATTCTTTGGGGAGTAGACTGCCACCATCACCCCTTGTTAGGGCGGGCTCTGTGAGTCCACTCCCGGGTGTCCTGGGCTGTAGATCTGAGCACGCCCCTCTGCCAGCCTGTCCTGTTTGTTTAATCACACTGTCCTCTAGGATGGTAACTGATGAGAGTGAGCGGTCATGGCAGTTGGGAGCAGGGGAAGGGGCTTGTGGGATTTTGGAACTAAATTCGTCATCAGTGTTTCTTCTCAAAAAGTTGCTGATGAAAAATGCTGACATAGGGGCTAGAATGATAGTACAGCACGTAGGACATGTGCCATGCACGCAACTGTCCCAGGTTCAATCCCCGGCACCCCATAGGGTCCCTGAGCTCTGTCAGGAGTCATCCCTGATCAGCGCCGGGTGTGGACTCCCCGCCCCACTCCCGGAATTCTTCATATTTGAGGTATTGCTGACTGCTTATTAAATGATGACAGTTTTATCAACTTAATTTATCTTGCCGTATTTTTTGTTTTTCTTTTTTAAGTGGATGATTTTAGGGTGGTTTCTCTCAAATTGCTGCAGACGCATTTCAAGAGCTCGGTGGATGCGCAGCGAGTGAGCCGGGTGGAGGTGCTGCCGGTCCACTGGCACAGCGCCCTGGGCGGCGACGCCACGGGCGTGGACAGGTGCGTGGGGCTCGGCACTGGCTCATTAGACCTGGCCCAGGTGGGTTAGACGGTTTTGGTGGAGTAGGAAACAGACTGATGGGTCTGTAGCAGCTGCCCTTACTTGAATGCTACACTTGGCTCTGACACGTGCCCATTTCCTTTGTGCGTGCATGTCTGCCTTGTCTGTGTGTCTGTCTGTCTGCCTTGTCTGTCTGTCTGCCTGCCCACTCTGAATCGTTCAGCAAATCTAAGACATGCAAATTGGCTAACAAATGCTGTTTTAGGGGCTAGAGCCATTGTACAGCGGGGAGTGCGTTTTTCTTATATGGGGCCAACCCGGGTTCTGTCCCCAACACCCCGATACGGTCCGCTGAGCACTAAAGGAGTGACTTTTGAATGCAGAGCCAGGAGGAACCCATGAGCACAACTGACTGTGACCCCAAAACAAAACAAAAGAATCTGCCGAGCTAGTGTGCAGCAGTGTGGATGGTCCATGGGGCAGCGACAGCAGCACTGTCCACCCCCGTCACAACCGAAAGGTCGCGAGTCCTTGCCCCGTGTCCTCTAGGGGCATTGCCTCTGGTGGAGAGCCAGGGACTGAGATCATTGTCTCTCAGCTAGGCTGTTGAGAGCTTGGTGGGTCCCTCTGAAGGCCACCAGATACCAGCAGCACCTGCCAGCAACTCCAAATGTGCCCCCCTTTGGCTGTGAACGCTTCCGGTTACCTCAGATTCATTAAGACTCACCTGGCTCTGGGTCTGCCGATGTCTCTGGGTCTCAGAAACTGGTCCTGATACTTCAGAGCACTGACTTCAAAAGATAATCCTACCAATGGCGGCCAATGCCGTTCTCGCTGTGCTGGGCCACACCCAGCAGACCTCAGGGCTTACTTATTCCTGGCTGTGTCCTCAGGGATCACTCCAAGAGGGGCTCAGGGGACCCTATGCGAAGCCAGGGATTGAACCTGGGTAAGCGGCAGAACTGGAGAGAGAGTACAGCAGGTAGGATGCTTGCTTTGTATGTGGTGATGCGGGTTCGATACCCAGCATCCCATGTGGTCCCCTGAGCCTGCCAGGAGTAATTCTTGAATGTAGAGCCAGGAGTTACCTCTGAGTTTAGCCGGGCGTGACCGCAAACTAAAACCAAATCAAAATAGAAACACCAACGGTGTGCAAGGCAAACACCTTCCCTGCTCTCTGGCCTCTGTGCCCCATCGTGGCCCTTCTCAAATCAGAAGAGTTTCATTCTCTAGAGCTCCTTAGTGCTTTTCTTTTTGGTGTTAGCTCTGCTGTCCTTCTCGCCCACAATTTGCTGTTGCTGTTTTGGGGGTGCTCAGGGGCTGGCTTTTCTGGCCTGGTGCTCTGGGCTCCTGAGGAAGCTGTGTGTGGTGCCTGGCATCAAACAAACCTGGGCCTTCTGTGTGCAGAGCAAGTTCTCAGCCCGTCACACCATCTCTCTCGACTCACTACTCACAGTTTCTGGTCACTTATCTTGATGTCCAAAACAGAAAGAGAATCTGGATGTTTTTAAATGGTGCCAAGGCCACACGTGTGGAAACTGACTGACCCACACTCCATCCATCAGAAGTGGATTTTTTTTTTTTGCCTCCAAAGCAGTGTTTAGGGCTTGGGGCCATTCTTGTGATCCTGGGTCAGCTGGAGTGGGGGGTACCGGGGTTCAGTGTGAACTCGAGAATGCTGAACTGCCCAGACCCTGTGTGCAGGGGAATACCAGGCCCTGCTGGTTGGCTTGGGGTTTCTGGGGCTGAACCTGGCATCATGCAGGGCACAGGCTCGGACCATCTCCCCAACCCCTGGAATTCTGCTGTAGAATTAAAACAGGGTTAGGGCGATGGCTTACGAGACCAGCGCACACACTTTGTACATGGGGGGGGGGGGCGGGGGGGGGCAGGATTTGTCCCCTGGCATCACATGGTTTCTGGAGCATCACCAAGAGCAACCGTTGAGTCCTGAAGCCAGGAGTGGTCTAGCACGGCTGGACTTGTCCCCTCCAACTCCCTGCCTTCCTCATGATTTTAGACTTCCATATGCGCCTTATTTTATGTGATAACTTGTAGCGCCGTAGCACTGTCCTCCCATTGTTCATCGATTTGTTTGACTGGACACCAGTAACGTCTCCATTATGAGACTTGTTGTTACTGTTTTTGGGATATCAAATACATCATGGGGAGCTTGCCAGGCTTTGCCTTGTGGACGGCATACTCTTGGTAGCTTGCCGCGGGCTCTCTGAGAGGGCTGGAGGAATCGAACCCAGGTCGGCCGCGTGCAAGGCAAATGCCCTACCTGCTATGCTATCGATACCAAAATTGGTACCTTTATGTTTGGTTTTGGGGCCACCCGCAGGTGCTGCTCAGGGCTTATCCCTGGCCCTGCACTGAGTTAATCACTCCTGGTAGGCTCGGGGGATGTGGGAATCGAACCTGGGTTGGCCATGTGCAAGGCAAGCGCCCTGCCCACTGTACTATTGTTTTGGTCCCTCCTAAATTCATAGTGCATTCATTGGCAGAAATAGACACTTTCATTTTTCGGTTTTGGGCTTAGACCCTCGCTCCCAGCTCTGCTTGGGAGTCTGCCGGAGGTGCTGGGAGTCAAACCCTCTCTTGGTTCCAGTAACACTTAATTTGTGGAGTTGACTCTGTGGGTTTTTTTTTTTTTTTAAAGATTCTCACAGTGACTAAACATTTTTTTTTTTTAAATAAGAATTCATTCAGGCCTCTTATCAAAAAAAGATTCCACAGAGGGGCAGAAGCCATAGCACAGTGGGTAGACCTTGTGTATGGCTGACCCGGGTTCAGTCCCTAGCATCTTGTATGGTTCCCAGAGCCCCATCAGGAGTGATCCCTTGAGAGCAGAGCCTTGAGTAAGCCCTGGGCACTGCTGAGTGTGACCCCAAAACAGAGCAAAAAGATCCCACAGATTTGGGGCCAAGGGTGTGACTCATGGAGGGTCCTTTGCATGTTCAGGGACCCAGGCGCTGTCCCTGTACCGGACGGTCCCCTACCATTGTGGGTGGCTCTGGATTTAACCCCCAGCACTGGGTGGGTGGTGGGGAATCTCCACTGATTTCAGGGGACCGATGAGTGAATATTATTTTTCTCTTGTCAAACAGGAACATCAAGAAAATCACCTTACCAAGTGTTGGCCGCTTTCGTCACTTCACCAACGAAACCTTGCTCGATATTTTATTTTACAACAGTCCCACCTACTGCCAGGCCATCGTGGAGAAAGTGGGGCTGGAGATGAATCGTCTGCACGCGCTCTTCCTGAGTCGGAACCCCGACTTCAGAGGCGGGGTGTCTGTCGCGGGGCACAGTTTAGGTAGGGCCGCCTGGCTGCATTGAAGTCATTCATTCATTTGGGCGGTGGGGGTCACGCCCAGGGATGCTCAGGGCCCCCTCCTGGCTCTGTGCATAGGGATCACTCGTGCCTACGCTCAGGGGACCCTAGGGGGTGCTGGGGTTGAACCGGGATTGGCCACATGCAAGGCAAGTGCCCTTCCCACCATGCTATCACTCTAGCCCTTTCTTTTTTGCTTCTTTTTTGTTTGTTTGTTTGTTTTAGTTTTTGGGCTCTACCTGGTTGTGCTCTGGGGAATCACTCCTGGCAGTGCTCAGGAGACCTTCATGTGGTGCTGGTGTTGGAACCCGGGTCAGCCTCATCTTAGGCAGCAACCTTACCCACTGTGCCACCTCTCGGCCCCAGAGGGCTGGGCCTGTGGTTCAAGGCTAGAGCCCCTGTCTAGTGTTCGTGAGGCCCCGCTTCTGATTCTAGCCCCACATGGTCCCAGAGCACTGACCCACGCACCTTTGCGTTGGCCCGACTACTAAAGGGGACGGTGGGGGTGTGTGTTCTAAAAGTACCTTGTACGTTACTGTTTTTTTAAAGAGATCTTTCCCCCTCAGGTTCTTTAATACTGTTTGATATCCTGTCCAATCAAAAAGATTTGAATTTTTCCAAGTCTCCCGGGCCATTAACGATTGCTAATGGCATTGTGAAGCAGCCGAATTTTCAGGAAAAGCAGGTATGACTCTACTAACATTCAGAGTTAGAGTTTGAGGAATTTTCCAGAATCAGACTGTTTCCTGAAAAGCTCTTCTGTATCAAAATACCCTGAGATATATAAGGGTAGTGGGAAAATTTGGTAGTGGGTGTTTCATATCCTTCCCCATGGGTTAGAAATTTAAATGTGAGGAGATTAAGCATTACATTTAATATAATCTTACTAAAAACTGATTGTAGAAAATGGAACATGATTTATTAAATTGATGTGTCCTCAGAATTATTCACATTTTGGGCAACAAACCACCAAAAGTTATGATTTGGGTATAGAGTTGAATTGTTTTAAGATGTTGGCTAGCTCAGGAGAAATTCGATGAGATTTTTCTGGACTCATCTTGTCCTGTTCCTCCACCTTCATGTTTTGAAGGCATCTGAAGAGCCAAAGCCGAATTTGGATGAGTCTTGTGACCTTGAGGTTGAAAATGAAGACGCCGTCACCTTGCAGGAGGCCCTGGACACACTCAGCCTCTCTGAGTACACCAGCACGTTCGAGAAGGAAAAGATTGACATGGAATCCCTGGTACTGGGAAGACTGATTTATGTCTGTCTGAGATTGCTTTTCCCGTGTCTCACAGTGAAAATTAAGATGATTCAAATCAGTGTTGCCCAGAGTGGGTGATCTCCCCGACCCCCCAAAACTCAGGATGAGGGGCTGGAGCGATAGCACAGTGGGGAGGGCGTTTGCCTTGCACGCGGCCGACCCGGGTTCCATTCCCAGCATCCCATATGGTCCCCCAAGCACCGCCAGGGGTGATTCCTCAGTGCAAAGCCAGGAGTAACCCCGGTGCATCGCCGGCTGTGACCCAAAAAGGAAAAAAAAAAACTCAGGATGCTGGAATGATGGGGTAGGTGGGGGGGGGGGGCAGGGTAGAAATCTTGGTTGCTTTTGGGGTTCTTGAATGATGATGGTTTTTTCTTCAAAAAGGAGGTGACCAGGGTCTGAGCATTAAGTACAGTGAATGGGGCGCTTGCTTTGTATGTGGCTGACCTGGGTTTAATTCCTGGCATCCCATATAGGTCCCCTAAGCCTGTCAGGAGTGATCCCTGAGCGCAGAGCCAGGAGTAAGCTCTGAGCACAGCCATATGTGACCCAGACATCCCGTGTGTGTGTGTGTGTGTATATACACACATATGATGGTTTTTTCTTCAAAAAAAATATATATATACACACACACATAAACACGTATGTATGTATATAAATATGTACACAAAAATATATATGTACGTAAGGCATAATATATGTATACATATTTATATAGAACTCTACTAAAACTCTGCCCTTTGCCCTTGCAGTTTTACTGTATTTCCTGTAGAGAAACATTCACTCAGGAATACTTTTTTTTTTTCTTTTTGGGTCACACCCAGCAATGCACAGGGGTTACTCCTGACTCTGCACTCAGGAATTACCCCTGGCGGTGCTCAGGGGACCATATGGGATGCTGGAGATAGAATCCAGGTCTGCCGCGTGCAAGGCAAACTCCCTATCCTCTGTGCTGTTGCTCCAGCCCCCCCTCAGGAATACCTTTACGGATAGTCATTGTAGTGCCTGACTGGCAAAACCTCAGGATCAACTTCTTCATCGGCTGCTCTGGCAGCTGTGAAGTTGCCGATGGCGCCGTCTCTCCATGCCCATGGCTGTCAGTCAGTCCCGGGTACCGCAGGCATCTCTACAGCCCTTCTGATCAGGGCAGTCCCGTTTGCGTTGTGAACAGCGCACAGAGAGTGGGCTGCTCCCCCGGTAGGGCATCTCCAGGAGGAGTGAGAACACACCCGTGGTTGCTGCAGAGGTCGCTGGATTCATTGACTGTCACTGCGGAGTCTTTAGATTCGGAGAGATTTTTTTTTTTTCAGTTGAATCACAGTGAGATACATGGTCATAAAGTTGTTTGTGATTGGGTTTCAGTCATAAAATGTTCCACACCCGTCCCTTCGTTGGTGTGTATTTTCCACCACCAGTGTCCCCAGTTTCCCTCTTCCTGCCTCTTGGCAGGCGCTCTCTCTCTCTCTCTCTCTCTCTCTCTCTCTCTCTCTCTTTCTCTTCTTCCCTCCCTCTTTCTCCCTGTCTCCCCCTCTCTCCCTCTTTCCCTCCCATTCTCTCTCTATCTCCCTGTCTCTGTCTCTCTCCCCCCAAGTTGTCATTTAAAAAATGAACTGAACTGCATCTCAGATGGCTTCAGGTGTTGATTTCTTTTATAAATCTTCTCATTTGCCTTCAGTTGCCTTTTCACTGGGCTGACTCGTGCACGTGCTCCTTTTGTCTTAAAGCTCATGTGTACCGTGGATGACCTGAAGGAAATGGGAATACCCCTGGGACCCAGAAAGAAGATCGCTAACTTCGTGAAGCATAAAGCCGCCAAACTGGTAAGGGCCGCTTTCGCTCTAAAACAAGCGCTAAGCTCCTTTTGACCGGCTCCGGACTTATTTGTGTACTTACTTACTTAGGAGGGGTTCTCAGCTCTTCCTTATTGCTCAGGGGTCTGTCCCTGTGCTTGGGGACCACGTGAGAGCGTGCCTGGGCCTCCTGCGTACTCAGCGCATACTCGTTCCTGTGGCAGCTCATTCATTCTGTTCTGGAAGTTTCTGTCTCTCCCCTTGCAGTTAGGCCGGCGAGTTTGCTCTGTCCCCGCGCTGTGGGCACGGGGCTGACAGAAGCACAGGCTTTGGCGTCACCTAGAGCCGGATCTGAATCCCCATGAGGGTGACTGCCCCATGTTTCCCGGGGTGGGAGACTCTCTGGGACAGAGGGCTTTTACTTTCAGAACTGACGTTTGGCGTCTGGAGAGAATGGACAGAACTTACATGTAGCCGACTGCCGTTTGGTTCCTGGCGTTGCATGTGTCATCCCTGAGCGTCAGCATGGGTGGCTCAGGAAATTTGGGGATTTCCTAGTGCAAAAATTTAGGCAAGATTGGATAAATAAATGAGCTGGTCATCCTGATTTCCAGTTTGACTACTAACGATCTACACATTCTTGAACAGTCTGCCTCATTTTTCCCCATCCTTGGATTCCTTTTATTTCTAAAACAGAATCGATTGTATCCTCTTCGCAGGGTTGGAGAGAGGATCAAGTCATGCTTGTAAACCTTAGCACCCTGCCGGGAGCACTCACTTTCTCTCTTCCCCATCCCAGCCATTTGAAGGGCGAAGAAGATGCAAATGCCTCATCAAGACAATCCGGAAAGAAAGTCCCCTGTGTGCCCATTACCCGGGGAGTGGTCCTCAAGCAGGCTGAGTTAGTGCTCTCCCACTGAGCTACATCCCGAGCTTCCAGTTGAATTTTCTTTTTCTCCTTTCTTGGTTCCCCCCCAGCTATGCTGAGGGCTTACTCCTGACTCTGAGCTCAGGAATTACTCCTGGCTGTGCTGAGGGATGTCCTCCACCTCTCCCACTGAATTTCTTAGCAATCATATTAAACAAATTAAAAACAGTTTTTTTGCGGGGGTCACACCTGGCAGTGTCGCGGCCCCAAACACAGTAACAAGTCTCACGAAGGAGACGTTACTGGGCCCGCGCCAGCAAATTGATGAACAACGGGAGGACCGTGATGACCATGACCGTGACCTGGCAATGCACAGGGGTCACTCCTGGCTCATGCACTCAGGAATTACTCTTGGCGGTGCTCGGGGGACCATATGGGATGCTGGGAATCAAACCCAATTCAGCCGCGTGCAAGGCAAATGCCCTACCCGCTGTGCTATCGGGCTCCAGCCCCTAAAAACAAATTTAAATCATATTAAAACAAAGCAAAGTAAGAACTCAAAGCCACTGGCAGGTTGCAGGTGATAGGGGTGGGGCAGGGGGTGATGACTCCAGGAGACCCTTAGGCAGGTTTCTGCTAGAATGTTTGCTGCATTGGCGGTTACTAGAAATCCGAATGGTGCTTGGTCATTAGGAAGGGCCTCAGAGAAAGATGCCAGGGCAGAATCGGAAATGGGAAGGAAGAGTCTTCTCCAGCATTTGAGAGCGTTGATTGATGCTGTCTCAGCCGTCTGGAGCAGTTCAGGAAGAGGCAGAGCTCAGAAAGGGGCCCTGAGCTCTGCCCGTGAGTCTGGGTTCCTTTGCCGGCACATGCAGCAGTGACAGCGCTTCTGCCGCTCAGAGCCCGTCCCCTCGCCGAGCTGCTCGAGGTGTCCAGCGTCGTAGCCGGGGGTCACACCCAGAGCAGGCTCGTGGCCCTGCCTGGGAGCCGTTGTGTCCCCCAGTGAAGCACGAGCATGGGGAAGCAGGGCCCAGGAGGGAGGAGGCGGTTCCCAGGCCCGGGTCCTGCCCTGAGTGTCACTGGAGATGCCCGAGAGCTCCTGAAAACTTCATGGAGAATACCTGGGGATGTTTAGGATTCCTGAATCATGGCACTGAAGGGGGGTTTGGAAAACTTTCCAAATTGACCTTACCCTTTTAGGCCCGCCCAGCAGTGCTTGGGGCCAGTGTCAGCAGTACACAGTCCTGGGGGTGTGTGTCTGACCTAGGGGTCACCAAGGACACCCCAGCTGTGCTTGGGGGTCACCATGGTCGTACCTGGCAGTACGATGGATCCTCTTGGTGCCAGGGCTTGAATTAGGGGCCTGGACCACGCAAGGCGTGGGTTGCCTTGCCCTGGGAGATCTCCCCGACCTCTAAATTGATCCTGTTTTTAAGATTCGAAGGTAATTGCTTTGTGATGATCCATGAAAATTTGCTCAGCTCTGTTGTCATTGATCGCTTTAGGTTAACAGAATCCTCTCAGGTGAATTATAAGATAATGCGGTGTGTCCCATTGATTTATTGTGACCGAAATAACAGGAGTCTATTACTCTTTTATAATGAGATGAAATACTTGTAGCCCCAGCACTCTTTATCCCTTTGTAAATTATCTTAGTGATTTTCTTTCTTCTTCTTTTTTTTTTTTTTGTGGGGTGCGGGGGTCTCACCCAGCAGTGCTTGGGGCTTTCATCTGGCTCTGCTCTCAGGAATTGCTCTTGGTTGTGCTCTGGGTACCATGGAGGATGCTGGGGATCGAACCCGGGAGACAGCTGCTTGTAAGGTTAACGCCCTCCCCGCCGGACTATTGCTCTGGCCCCGTCTTCTTTTGGTCCTTATTTCTGATTTTCATTTGAGAAGGAAAAGGGGTGGTTATTTTGTTCGTTTTGGGACCACACCCAGTGGTGCTCAGGGCTTACTACTCCTGGCTCTGTGCTCAGGGGCCATATGGGATGCCCGGGGAGCAGGCCAGGTCAAGCTGAGCGCCTCCCTGCTGTACTCACTCCGACCCCTAAGGAAAGGAACAGTTCTGACTGTTGGGAATACTGATGGCTGTGTACATGTTGGCTCTCTGTAGGAGTTATTTGAACAAAGCACGTGGCTTCGGGTAATTTTGAATGACTTCAGCTGCTTTCCGCATTTGAGAATGTCAAGTCTGAGTGTGGTGGCAGTTCCTTCTTTGAGAGGAGAGCTGAGGCCTCAGGACGGCTCCTCACTGGGGTTGTGGGTTTGCCCGTGTGCCGCCTGCAGAGGGCAGAGGGAACCGCGTCTTCCCAAATGCAGATCATCTCTCTGCTGCCCGGCAGCTCCCTGCACCAGCACTGCCCAGGGGCCGGCACGAAGGCTCGCATCGGGGTTCAGGCTTTGCAGGCTGCGGCCTCAGGGTTCATCCCTGGAACTGCATAGTCCCCGGAGTGGGTGTGACCTCAAAACTGTACAGGAAGAAGCTGGGGGAATGGACGAACCGGTTGGACTTGTTTCCCAGTCCCCAGAGGTGCTGGGGACCACCAGGGTGTCCCTGGACCCTGTGAGTGCCAGGTCTGTGTCTAGCCCTTTGCGCGCTCCCTGGCGTGCTTTTTTTTGATTACTCTCATCTTCATGAGTTTCTGAAGTCCATGGAAACAGAAACACGCTGTACTCTTGTGTCGGGCCTCTCTCATACAGAATGAGGTTTGTGAGAGTCATCCCATTGTTGAGGCATTTGCATTCTTTTTTATTTCTGAGTAGTTATTTTTTTTTTGGGGGGGGGGTGGTTATACTACGGCGTGTTTCTCCATTCCTCCCAAAACGGCTTTGCAAGAAGCCTGTCAGGGGGTGCAGGTGGATTGGTAGAAACCTGCAGAAGAACTTTCTCCCGGAGTTTTACATCTCTCTTGATGAATTCTAAACCATCTCAAGTATATATAATGATGAAGTTGAAATTTTCCCTTTTGATCGTTGAAGAGTTTAATTGTATAGAAAAGTGAAAGTAGTCTCTGCTAGCTGTATGTTTTGGAAGTTGATATTTTTTGCTTTGTTTTGGGGCCACACCTAGCTGGTGCTCAGGGCTTACTCCTCATTGTGTGCTCAGGGGTCACTCCTGGCAGGCTCTGCGGATCCTATGGGTGCTGGTATAGAACCTGGATCGCTTTGTGGACCACAAAGGCCTTACCCACTAGCCTGTCCCTCTGGTCCTGTTCTGTTTTCTTTTTGCCTCTTAATTTTTTCCTTTCACAATCATAGACATCTTGGTATTTCTTCCCTGGATATTTAGTATGCATTTCTTAAAAGGATATTTTTTTTCTTACCTCTGTATTTTTTGGGGGGGCACACTCAGCAGTGCTCAGGGATCACCCCTGGCTTGGCTTTGGGGACCAAAGGCAGTGCTAGGGTTGGAACCCCGCTAGCCATGCACAGGGCACGGCTCTGTACTATTGCTGTTAACAGTACTGTTACTGTTATCCTCTGTACTGTTGCTCCGGCCACTTTTCTCTTTCTTGGGTCCCCAAAAGAAATACTCAGGAGACCTCAGCCCTTCTCAGCTCAGCTCAGTGCACAGGCCCAAGGGTGCAGTGCAGCTCTGATCCCGGGTCACCCCAGTGGTGCTGGGGGCTCCAGGGCCACACCTGGTGATACTCAGGGGACCACGTGCCCTAACCACTGTGCTGTCCCCTCGCCCTACAAAGGACGGTTTTTCTAATAACTACAAAGCCGTTCCGTGACCTAAAGAGAACGATTCCCTGGTGCTACCTGGAACTGGGGGTTTCCTCGGGGTTGTGACACGAAGTGTTGGGATGTCACAGGAGCAGAGAAAGATGGCTTCGGAGAAGAAGGCTGCAGTGGCCGCCGTGACCCCAGGACCAGAAGGAAATGCCCCGAAAGGTGACGGAGCGGCCCCGGCGCCCGGCGAGGCCAAGAGGAGACTGCCCGTCGGCGTCTGCGTGTCCTCTGCGAACGTCCACTACGAGTCCTTTGAGGTCGGCACCGGGCAGGTACGTCTGCGGCTAGGCCCATCCCTGCTTCTGCTCTCAGGGATCGCTCCTGGGGGTTGGCGTGGGAGCCCCACGGGGTATCCGATACCAAACCCTTGCAAGTGCCCTGCCGATCTTCAGCCCCTGAAGGTCGTGACTTTTGTTGTTGTTGTGAAGCAAATTTTTTTTTTTATTTCTTTGAGGTGTTTTTTTTTTTTTTCCCAGAGAAGGATTGCTAGAACATGTGTAGTTCTAGTTTCAGGGTTTTTTTTTTTCAATTTTTAAAAAAAATTTTATAAAGTAGTTCACAATATTTCATTACATTTAATATTCGAACACCAATGCCACCACCATTGTACCTTCCCGCCACCACATTTCTGATGTTTCCATCCCTGCCCCAAAGCAGAACCGAAATAATATATTTTCTTTTGTTTGTTATGTAAAATCGTTGAAAATGCTACAGAAAAGTTTCCTGAGAGGAAAGAGTGTGGAGGTTGTTGAAGCAAGATTTAAAATATTTTTTTTCTTTTTTTTTTCTTTTTGGGTCACACCCAGCGATGCACAGGGGTTCCTCCTGGCTCTGCGCTCAGGAATTATCCCTGGCGGTGCCCGGGGAACCATACGGGATGCTGGGAATCGAACCTGGGTCAGCCGCGTGCAAGGCAAATGCCCTGCTCACTGTGCTATCGTTCCAGCCCCAATAAATTTTTTTTTTTGAGGAGTGGGGCCTGCAAGGGCCACACCCAACAGTTCTCAGGGGTCACCCCTGCAGAGCTTTGGGGACCGTAGGGAAGCAGAGAAATGTAGAGACAGGCAAGGTAAGTCATGTTCAGGGAGAACACGGGCTTGAGGAGGAAGCCCGAAGATGGCATTTCATTATTTGTTTTTGGGGTCACACCCGATGATGCTTAAGGATTACTCCTGGCTTTGTGCTCAGGAATTAACTTCTGGAGATGCCTGGAGGACCCTATGGGTTGCTGGAGATCAAATCCAGGCCAGCTGTGTGCAAGGCGAGCCCCTATCCCTATGCCGCTGTGCTGTTCTGTCCCTCTGACCCCCTAAAGGTGACAATTTATTTTTTATTAAAATTTAATTTTCTAATTGCTTTATTGCTCTTGGGCCACACCCAGTGCTGCTCAGGGGTCACTCCTGGCTCTGCCTGCACTCAGTAATCATTTCTGGTGGGCTTGGTGGATCATACCGGATGCTGGGGATGGAACAAGTGCCTTACCTGCTGTGCTATCCAGCCCCCTAGAGATGCCTTTTTTCTTTCTTTTCTTTTTGGGTCTCACTCGGCTATGCTCAGGGGTTAATCCTGGCTCTGCACTCAGGAATCATTCCTGGTGGTGTTCGGGGGACCATATGGGATGCTGGGACCCAGACCTGGGTTAGCCGTGTGCAAGGCAAATGCCCTACCTGCTGGACTATCGCTCCGGCCCCTAGAGATGCCATTTTAACCTCTACCTGAAAATGTGAACCGACTTGGACAGATTTACAGTCTCTAGCTGACTTCCTCACCTGACTGGAGAGACGGGGGCAGTGGGAGGTGTGTGTTACCGCCGCCCCGGACCCTCTCTGTGTGGGCAGGGTTCAGATTTGGGATCGGGGAGCCCAGAGTGATCCTTTGTTGCCTCTGTTAACTGTGTTTCAATTCTAGGTTTCTGTTGTTTATAACTCGTTGGATTTTGAGCCAGAGAATTTCTTTGCCTTGGGATCTCCCATTGGTGTGCTTCTCACTGTTCGAGGAGTAGATCGGATTGATGAGAACTACAGGCTACCCACGTGTAAAGGCTTCTTCAATATTTACCACCCAGTGAGTACACTGAGTTTCCTTCCTCGGGGAACCATGCGGTCCTGGGGGCCAGCCCTATGAGCTATCTGCCCATCTTACCTTGCCCTCTTCATCCTGCCAGAGTCTCAGATTGGTTTTTTTTTTTTTTTTTTTTGCTTTTTGGGTCACACCCGGCAATGCACAGGGGTTCCTCTTGGCTCTGCACTCAGGAATTACCCCTGACGGTGCTCAGGGGACCCTATGGGATGCTGGGAATCGAACCCAGGTCGGCTTCATGCAAGGCAAACGCCCTACCCGCTGTGCTATCGCTTTAGCCCCAAGTCTCGGATTCTTAAATGAATTAATTCTGATCTTGGTTTTTGTACAGTTCAGCTCTCTGTCCTTGTAGAGTTTAATATTTTCCATAACTTCTACCGTGAAACCTTTGTTCAAGGAAGTAATTCTGTTCCTTTGCTCACAAAATAAATTTTGGGGGCTTTGGGGATCTTGGGGTCCTATCTGGAGGTGTTTAGGGCTTTCTCCTGCCTGGCTCTTTGATCAGGGGTCATCCTGGTGGAGTTCAGGGATCAAACTGGGGTTGGCCACTTGCCAGGCAAGCACCTTCACCCCCCCCCCCCCCCGACTCCTTTGCAGGCTGATTTTACCACATCTTGAAAGGCATCTTCAAATTACCATTATTTGAAGACATCATGGACAGAAATCCCTCGTTTGTCAGTGACTTGTTTTTTCACTCAGCTAAATAATCAAAAGAGCTCTCAGAACTTTCCGATTCTTTTCTTTGTAGCTTGACCCGGTGGCATATAGATTAGAGCCCATGATTGTTCCCGATTTGGACCTCAAAGCAGTCCTCATTCCACATCACAAAGGCAGAAAAAGACTTCATTTAGGTAAATCGCAAAAATGTGGAAACTTGTTTCCTCCCCGTTGTTTTGTAATCGGTCATTTATAATGTATTATGAAAATGTTTGCAGTAAATACTTTGACAGAATGAGTATTATTTCAAATCCTGCTGTGCTTAGGACTGCTTTATTGCTGAATATTTGTAGGAGTTATAAAGATTTCTTCCTAATGTTGACATAATGCTCAGATAATACTCAAAAGTTGGAAAGGTGTTGAGAAAATGATCTGAAGAGAAAATACAGCGATTCAGGCTCTGACTTATGGTTGACCTGGGTTCGTTCAGTCCTGGCACCCATGTGGGTCCCTGAGTCCACCAGGAGTGAGCCCTGAGCACAGTTGGGCATTGTTCCCCGTCTCCCTCACCCCCCAAAAGAAATCCAACAAAACAACCCCCCCAAAAAAACAGTTTGAAGTAAAAACATTTGAATAAAATTCTCGTGATTTCTTTTAGACAGAAATAAGAAGGAAAGGAGTTTCTCCATTTTTAAATTAGAAGTTTAAATTGTGGTTATGTCAGAAACTCAGATTGCCCAGAAAATCAGATTATAACAGATTGGGAAGACTCGTCTTTTTAGTTTTTAATTTCCTTTTGTGATATTGAAAAGTCAGTTGAGGGTTAGTCACCCTGTGCAGGATTGCTGTCCTGCCGCGCGCAACCTGGCCTTCATTCTCTCAGGCTCCAGGGCCTGGAGTTTGGACCGTACCCAGCAATGCTCAGGGCTGACTCTCGGTTCTGCATTCAGGAATCACTGCTGGTGGAACTCAGGGAGCCTTTGGGGTACCGGGGATTGAACCCAGGTCGGCTGCAAGGCTGCAAGTCCTACCTGCTATACTACTGCTCTGCTCTCTTGAGGGCTTGTTTTTTTTTTTTTTTTATGATTAAAAATACAGATGAGTATGCCCTGGGTATTCATTACTCATTTGGGGAGTTGTGGTAAACTGAGGCCACGCTGGCAGTGCTCATGGTTCTCTCTGCTCAGGAGTGATCCTTGGTAGTGCTTGGGGGGCCATAGGCGGAGTCAGAGTTTTGAACCAAGTTTGGCTGCCCGCAAACCCATTACCTTACGTCTCCAACCATAAAGCAGTTCATGATGTGAACCTGCTTACGGCATTTGCTGGGGGGGAGGGGGTTTGTAGTGTAGGGATTGAACTGGGGCTGTCAGTATGCAGGGCAAATGCCTCACTCCCTCCTTTCCCCCCTCCCCACCTCACCAGTCCCCAAGATTCCTTTTTTACAAAGGGAACGGGGACCAGGGAGCTGGCTCAGACTGCGCTCTGGTCTGCGTCCTGGATGGATTCCGTTTCCTGCGTCTCATGGGCCTCTGAACGCCACTGTTTGTTATCCTGTACCTTGCACCAAAAGGAGAATAATAAGACTCTTCAGAATATTTTATTTTTTTCATTTTTTCATTTCATCATCCTGTTATTCGTCGATTGCCTCGAGCAGGCCCCAGTAACGTCTCCTTCATCCTAGCCCTGAGATTATATTCAAGGCTCTTTAGGAGAATGAGACCCATCATTGTTACTGGTATTTGGCATATTGGGTACGCCACGGGGAGTTTGCCAGACTCTGCCCTGTGGGCAGGCTACATTTGATAGCCTGCAAGTTTGTCCAAAGTAGGAATGAGATAATAAGATGTCATATTTTATTATTTTTATTTTTTTATTTTTGGTACCACACTCAGCAGTTCTCAGGGGTTACTCCTGACTCTGCACTTAGCAATCACTCCTGGCGGTGCTCAGGGGGCCTTCTGGGGTGCTTGGGATTGAATCTGGGTCGGTCAAGTGCAAGGCAAATGTTCTACCCCGCTGTATTATCACTCTGCCCAGACTCAAAATATTTTAATTGTTAAGGATTTTGGCTGAGAAACTCGCATGCATTTAACATTTAGGGGAGGAGAAAGAGTTCTTACCTGTCTGAGAAATGTTCAACTTCTCTTTTAATTTTCATGGTGCAGGGCTTTTTTTTCCACACGAATAACTTAAATTTTATTATTATTTTTTATTATTTTTTTTTATTATAGGACAAACTGGCAGGCTATCGAATGTAACCTGCCCACACGGCAGAGTCTGGCAAACTCCCCGTCGCGTACCCAGTATGCCAGATACCAGTAACAATGATGGGTCTCATTCTCCTAACTCTGAAAGAGCCTTGAACATGGCACTTTTCTAAAAATCTCAGGGCTAGGACGAAGGAGACGTTACTGGGGCCTGCTTGAGGCATGGTCGTGACCGTGATTATAGGACTATAATTTACCAAGGTGCTCATAATACAGTTGCTTCAGGCGTTAAATGTCCCAAGACCAGTCAGCGTGCCCTTCCCTCCACCAATGCCATATTTGCCCACCCATCACCCCAGTTTGCCCCTTTGCAGACACAAGGTACTTCATATCGTACATACTGTACAATGGTGAATGGAGACTTGGATCAATAAGAGCCATTTTGTGATGGTGGTTGTGTCTTGCGATGATATTACTAAAGTCACTGCCTGAGGATCTACTGTGCTGTCCACAGCTAATAACTTGATGTGTTTTGATCTCTCTAGAGTTGAAAGAAAGCCTCTCTCGTATGGGTTCTGATCTGAAGCAGGGTTTTATTAGCTCTCTGAAAAGCGCTTGGCAGACGTTGAACGAGTTTGCGCGTGCCCATACCTCTTCAGCTCAGCTGCAGGAAGAACTGGAGAAGGTGGCCAATCAGATCAAAGAGGAAGAAGAGAAGCAAGTAGTTGAAGGTAAATCTTGACACTTGAGACGTTTTCCAGGACGGATACAGACTGTGATCATCACATTTACTATTTTTATGACTATGTTTTTGTTTGTTTTTGCTTTTGGGCCACTCAGGGCTTACTCCTGGCTGTGTCCAGGCGGTGGGGCTTGGGCACTTGCCAGGGATCAAATGCAAGGCCAGCACCTACCTGCTGTAACACTGCTCCAGCTGCTGTCGAGATTCCTGAGGCAAGAGTGGAACATCTGGGGCTGGAGCGATAGCATAATGGGTAGGGCGTTTGCCTTGCACGCAGCCAATCCGGGTTCGATTCCCAGCATCCCATATGGTCCCCCAAGCATCGCTGGGTATGACCCAAAAAGCAAAAACAACAACAACAACAAAAAAAGAGAATGAACCACCTGAAACCTAATGAGAATTAGGTTTGTATTGAGGCAATTTAAAGTTTCACTCTCGCTGTCATCTTCTGGGTGACCCTCTGTAGTGTGTTGCTAGAGACGTGCCGAGCCGTGCTGTTGGACCCCCCGCTGGCACTGCTCCCGGTCCCTCTGGGTGAGACTGCCCTGTCCATACGGGGGTTCTCATCTGAGGCGAGAGAGCTTCGGAGACAGACATGGCTGCAGAGGCCAAGGACGGTGCCCAAGGGGGCGCCGCCCCCTGTAATCTGTGATCACTGCTCCTCCTTTACGAGCGTTCTGTTCCCCTTGCTAGGAGGTCATGTTAGTCGGATTCCCTGTCACCCTGTGTCTCCCCCCTTGAGTGCTGCCATGGCTCACCAACTCCCTGGGGATACTCACAATTTCCCGGGATAAACTTCTCCTTGTGTTACGCCCCCTGCACTGTTTCCCGGTCTGTCCCTGCCCCCTTCTCTGGCGGTCGCTCTCCCCTCTACTTGGTCTCTGGATTGGGAATAAAGGTTGTTGCTTATCACCTAGTAATCAGTCTGCAACCTGTTCCTTGTCTATCAACCGGGGAGCATCTCTTGGCCCTGAACGCACCAGGGAGCCCCGTCACTGCGAGATGGTGACCCGCCTCCGACACCAGGCCAGGTCATCATGCAGTGATGCTGTGATGATTTCCTGTCTCCGCTGTTATCGTGCTTTCTGCTATGCTGTCTCCTCCTCTTTCTCCCAAACTCCTTCAGCTCGTGGCGTTCTCTCCTATCCCTTAGGTGACCAGCCCCCTACCCCCCCCCCCCCCCCCCCCCCCCCCCCGGTTCTCTGGAGTGGCGGGCAGTGAGCCCGGGAGCTTTGGGCTGCTATAGTCACACAGTGTCCTCACCGGACCCAGGCAGTCGGCTGACGGCAGGGGGAGAGGGAAGGGACTGACTTTGATGTGGCAATGGCTTCAATTCCAGCGGAGAAGATTGTCGACAGTCCAGACTCACCCAAGGACGAGGACTACTTGGGGAAGGTCGGGATGCTCAACGGCGGCCGCCGCATTGACTATGTGCTCCAGGAGAAGCCCATCGAGAGCTTCAACGAGTATCTCTTCGCGCTTCAGAGTCACCTGTGCTACTGGTGAGCGTTTCTCCTCCCCGACGCTCCTGGGCACAGAGAGGGACGCGAGCCCTAGTGAGGTTCTTGCTTGGCTTAGCCTTGATGTGTCCATTGGAGCTTCCCGATAGCCCAAATCCGTTTCCCCTTTCGGGTTAGTTACCCACAAGATGGCAGTGTGTCACCGGTGTGGAGCCCAGCCTTCAGTCCATGGGCTCAGTGATGGATTTGGGAAGCCCATCTGTTGCAGAGGACGGGGACGAAGGAAGGGAAGGGAATAGGAAAAGCTGATTGGGATGTGCTCCCGGACGAACTCTCTGAACCACGGGTGAGGCTGGGGTCGAGCCGCGCCCTGGGAAAGAGGAAGGGGGCTCCTTAAGTTGTCTTGGGCGGGAAAAGGGAACCAGGACTAGTGGAACCGGTGTCCTTGGTCTGGCTCCGTTATCTGTCGGGGGTCGATGGTGAGGAAGCGGGGAATGCGGCCTGGTGGCTTCCCGGTGCCACGTGAGCCATAAGTCCTGTCCTCCGTGCTGGGGACAGGGTGGTTCCTGATTCTAGGAATGTTGCTGGTCGCCATTTGGTCCTAGTTGCCATTTTGCCTGAGCAAACGTCACACTGAGTTGTGGAGGGATGCTGTGGGCAGGGGGTGCCCTGCACTCTGACACGCTCTACTTCCTGCGTCCGTCTCTCCCCAAGGAGAATCCCAGACCAGCACCTGCCCAGGACAGCTCTCGGATTCCATTCCCTGCATCTTCACAGACTGTTTAGGAAGAGTAGGATGGAACAGAAGCTGCGTTTCCCCCCTTGACACAGAGATGTTGAATTTCTTGCAGCCCCAGGGGTAAATGTTCTTTTCTCTGTCACAGGGAATCTGAAGATACTGCCTTGTTATTACTGAAGGAAATTTACCGAACAATGAACATCAGCCCAGAGCAGCCCCAGCACTGAGTGGCGGCCCCCACCGTGAGTTACTGTGTCGTTGTGGTGTATGTTTCCCGTGACTGTGTGTCCGTCATTCTGAACCTGGCAGTCTGCCGTCTTCGCTCTTTGGTTTTTGGCTCGCACCAGATACTGCTTGGGGACTGCTCCTGGTTATCCTCCAGCTGGTAGCTGGGAATGGTCCCTGCTACCTGCTAGGCTCTGGGGCTGGGGCTCAAACCCGGGGCTCTTGCAGACGGGGTACGCACATAGCCACTGAGCAGTTTTTCTGCTCTTGCCATCAGTTTTACGGGGCTGTATTATCTTTCTCTCCTGTTCCTGTGATTCTGCTTTAAGAATGCAGAACAGACATTAAGGAAGGGACTCACGTTTCTAACTTGTTAACCATCTTCTGGGCCTTAAAAAAATTAGGAAGAACGTTTATTTATATTTTGGGGCCACACCTACTGGTGCTCAGGGCTTACTCCTGGCTCTGTGCTCGGGGATCATGTAGGGTACCGGGGAGTGAACCCTGGTTGACCGTGTGCAGAGCAGGCGCTCCTCCGCCTGCTGCCGTCTCTCCCCAGCTCTGTGTCTTCTGGCATGTTCAGTTTCTCTTAAAAACAATTCCCAGGAATAGGAGTTAGGGGCTCCTTTGGTGGTAGTTTGCGGTGCCCGACTCCCGCCGCTGCCCTAAACAGATCGCGGTTTAGCTGTGCTTGGCAGGAGCGTAACTGGCCCCCACGGGAGCGTGACAGGCCTCCCCATGGGAGCATCTCTTTCACATGTCCCTGTGGCTGAGAGTCTCGGGGTGACGCCTGTTATCCCCACCTCTCTCTCTATCCCAGGCGAAAAAACGCAGACCAGGATGATCTGCTCCTTTTCCTTGGGAAAGAGCCTTGTCCAAAATTTTGCCCACCTCCTGACTATGCCTATGTTGTTATGTCCCAAGTCATCTCCCACCCCTGAAACTGCGTAGTGAAAAATGATTTTCTTATAGCGCTAAGTTTATTACGGTACCGTGACTTCCTAGTGTAAACATCAGTGTTTCCGGTCTGTAATGATGCTGCCCCACCCCTGCCAGCCGAGTCCTGCATCGCCCGGCGTCCCCGCGTGTCCTCGTCAGCCCTCCCCGCGACCCCGCTAGCACACTCGGCTCTCAGGGTCTGTCATCACTGGCCAGTGTTTATTCCCGCCTGCTTTTTTGCTTGCTTGCTTCCTTTCTTTTTTTAATTGAATCACCATGATTTGCAAAGTTACTAAGATATTGGTAGTTGAGTTTCAGGCATACGGTATTCCAGTATCAGTCCCTTCACCAATGCCCACTATCCTGCACCAGTGTCCCCTTTTTTGTCCCTGCGACCCCCCTCCCAAGTCCCTACTGTCACCTCCTCTGTTGTTCTTGTGCCCCTTTCCGTAACTTCTCACCCTACTTCTGCCCATGACCAAGCTCACCACCGGGACCAGGTCTTCTGCTCTTCGTTTCTGCTGCATTGAGCTTTTGATGTTCCTGTACAAGATTTCTTTCTATCCCACATACGAGGGGGAACATTCTGAGTCTGTTCCTCTCCCTCTGATTTTACTCCACACAGTACTTTCTGAATTCATCCACGTTGTAGCAAATTGTGTGACTTGATCTTTTCTTAAGGCTGCGTATATGTGCAATAGTTTCTTTATCCAGTCATCTGTTTGTGGGCGTTTGGGCTGTTCCTATGTTTTTTGGCTGTTGTACACAGAGCTGCGGTGAACATAGACTTACAGGCAACTTTTCTGATTTGTGCTTTTGGGCCCTTGGTCCATCTTCCTAGGAGTTGAACCGCTGGGTCACGTGGAAATCCAGTTAATTTTTTATTAAAGCACTGTGATATAGAAAGTAAATCGTAGTTGAGTCTTAGACACACAGTGTTGCAGCACTATGCCCTTCCGCTTTAAAAGCGGCATTCTGTGCCAGAGAGCTGGTCCTCTGGGGCCTGGCTGACCCAGGTTCAGTTCCCAAAACCCTCTGTGACCCCCCTGAACCCCAACAGAAATGATCCCTGAGTGCAGAGTGAGGAGTAGTCCTGGTGTGGTCTAACAAAATAGTATTCTAAGTATCCCTGTTCTTTTTTTTTTTGGGTCACACCCGGTGATGCTCAGGGGTTACTCCTGGCTCTGCCCTCAGGAGTTATTCCTGGCAGTGCTGGGAATCAAACCCGGGTTGCCCGCGTGCAAGGCAAACGCCCTACCTGCTATGCTATCTCTCCAGCCCCAGTATCTCCGTTCTTTACTGATGGAATGACGAGAGGAGGAAGTGAAAACTCTGGGATGCGTGAGCCGATCTAAAGATTCAAAGTCCCCTTTTTTTCAATTGTGAATTAGTCATTTAGTTCAGATTGGGTTTGGACAGTCTCTGGGGAAAAGCATGAGTGTTTCCTGAATCCACAGCACTGCTGAGCGCCAGCCTCTCTGCCTTGGTTAGCAGCGAGGGGGTCGCTTCCTGACCTCGGGAACGAACGTGTTGCCCTTCCACTGCAAAAACTCACATGCTGTGTCCCCGACCCCATGCAGGCTTATGGGGCAGTGAGAAGCTTCCACTTGAGCGCCATCAGAAACCTCAGAGAATCCAGGAAAGCCCAACCCCCGACATCTCCAGTGACATCCCATCCTCCTCTAGGAGCGCCCCCCTGTTGCCCCTGTCCACGGAGCCGTGGCACGTGCTCACGGCCAGTACAGTCAGTGAGCTCAGCTGAGCAGATTCAGTGCATGGACCATGTGGACGTGGCACCCAGCAGTGAGGGGCAGGGGTGCGCTGCAGATGGGGGCACGGGGGTTTCCTCCCCACCCGTGCTGTCCTGGAGATCTGCAAACTGCGTGTCCTCCTGACCTGTGTCGTGAGGGTTCCCTTTCAGTCCTTTTTCACCCTCAAGAAGTAATGGTGCGTCTTACAGTTGGTGAGGTCTTAGATTCAATAAATAGTGGGGGTTAAGAGCTGTAGGACCCTTGCCCTAATTCCCTGCTTCTGCGCTTTGTTTTTGGACCATACCCAGGTGCTCAGGGCCCACTTCTGGTGGAGCTTCGGGGATCAGACAGGGTGCCAGGAATCGAACCGCTGTCTGCTGCATGCAAAGCAAGTGCCTTCTCCACCGTACTGTCTCTCCAGCCCCTTTTGTTCTCTCTGATGGGGTCTCCTCGGTAGTGTTCAGGGGCTACTCGGTGATACGGAACCGAGTGCTGCTTGGCCCAGCAGTGCTGGGGTCCCCAGCCCACCCTGGTGGTGTTTGGGGGCGGAGGGAGTGAATCAGAGTTGCTGGGAATTGAATCCAGGTCACCACTGACTGTGCCTCCTTGGAGCTGTTCTGTTCTCAAAAACCAAAAAGCCCCGAATCAGTGGGATCCACAGTAGAGTATTCTTTCACTGCAGTGTGTGGTCTTCATCCTAGCATGTGTGGGAAGCTGAGAGGAGAGCCTGGCTTTCACTCAGTCTCCTTATCCTTCCAGAAAGTCCCAGACGACAGCACAATTCTGAGAAGATCCTCCCAGACGTCCCCAGTGCGCTCTGTGGCAGGGAGCAGGGCTGGCTTCCCGGCTAGCTGCTGGCCTGCGTTCCCTGCTGGGGGCATTCCTCAGACACCAGCGCACAGAGCCACGACAAGGAGACAGTGGAGAGCAATCACTACCACATTCGGACAGTCTAGATGAGAAAACGTAATTCTGAAAATGATGAAATGAACAATTCCTTGGATGACTTTAGTTCTTCAGTTGTCAAAGTAACATGGAATATCAATGAATACTTGTAGCATGCAAATGGTTGTTACTGTTTCTTAAAAGCTCTTGCTGATGGGCTATTAAACTTGCATATATTTTTTATTAATGTAGTATGTTCTTTTATTCAAGTGTGGTCTTCTGGCTAGATTGTTTTTTTGTTTTTATTTTGTTTTGGGACCATACCTGGCCCATGCTCAGAGGTTATTCCGTGCTCTGTGCTCAGGAATTATTCCTGGCAGAGCTCAGGGACCATATGGGGTCCTGGGGATTGAACCTGGGTTGGCCACGTGCAAGGTCAACACTACCTGCTGTCCTTGTCGCTCTGGCCCCTGGTTTTTGTAAACATGTCTGTTCTACGTTCAATGTGAATCGTTGCTCTGCTGCTACGGTGTGGGACATTTGTATGTGTTCGGAGGAGACCCGGATGGTCGCTTGAAGAGGTGGGATGTGAGCTTAGAGGACATCATCAGGCTACTGCTGAGAGCACCTACCGGGAGGAGGCGGGATGCTCCCCACTCCAGAGAGCCTGGGAGCCCTCCTGGCCTGAAGGGGTGAGCGGAAGAGGAGGGCAGCAAGAGCTTCCTCATTGCCGCTGGAGGCAGCCGTGACGGTCCACGCAGACGCTCACTTAACTACGAGAACCAAAGTTGAGATCTTTGTTCATTTTTTTGCTCTGTATTGTTTTTACTTATACCAAAGTGTTTTGAAAGTATGAGCCACATGCTTGTAGACTATAAATCTATTTCATGGACAGACTGTTGTGTAAAATTTCACTTTTGTCTTACTCTACCTTCAAATGATCTAAATATTTTCCTAATGCTGAGGAGAATACCGATTTCTTTCTTTTGTTATGCAGTAGAAACATTTTGCACATTTTGTACATAGTTCTCATGGAACAGAATTTTTAGGAAAAAAAAAAAACCAGGATATGCCTTTTCTTGTGTATCCTAATCAGTGTGAATAAACAGTAATATCCATGCACTTTTGTAAGCAGCAAACTCCTGCGTGGCTTGTGTTCAAAAGTATTTCAGTGATCTGTGTGGGCTTACCTTTGTTGTGACTCTTGCAATTCTCTAGTTAATCGTGGTGACAGTAGCGTTGCTCCTGGCACTAGCGTGAGGACCACCGGGCATTGGAGGTCCGCTCCCGGCTGGCAGCTGAGGACACCACCCTCCCCGCCTCTCCCAGCCTGCGGGGCCCAGACCAGGCGGTGCTTTCTTTGACTCCTCTCGCCTTCTCCTGCGTTCCCTACACCCGGATGGTCGCTCTTCTTTCTACTTCCTTCCCTAGACTGCCAGCTAAAGAAAAATGAGAACTATCTATTTATGTCTATTTTAATAAAATCCAACTTGGATCTTTTTTTTTCAATTTATAACTGGATTATTGTCTGGATTATTCCCCCTGCGTTTTCTGCGTGTTCATTTGGGGCCAGTGTCCACAGAGGATCTGAGGACCCGTGGGGGTATGTGATGGACAGCCCCAGAGGGACCTAGTTTTCAAGTCCCAGCAAACTCTTTTGGGCTCGGGGCTGGAGCCATAGCACAGCGGGTAGGGCGTTTGCCTTGCATGTCGCGAGCAGCATCCCATATGGTTCCTTGAGCACCACCAGGGGGTAATTCCTGAGTGCAGAACCAGGAGTAAAGTAACCCCTGTGCATCACTGGGTGTGACCCAAAAAGCAAAAAAAAACAAAAAAAAAAACCAAAAAAAACCCACTACTGGGCTCTGGCTCGGCTTCAACTGATGCCCGGGGTGCTGGCCCGGATGCTGTACCTTCACCAGCCACGGTTTGCTCTTCCCAGAACTGCTCATGGGCTCCAGTCCTAGCTGCACTCTTGGGCTGCCCGTGGTTTTGCTACTTGGATAATAGCACTTCCGGTTTGGATAACAGTGCTTCCGGTTGGATAATGGTACTTCTAGAGGTGGAGCATCCTCATCCTCCTCTTTCACCACCTAAATTCTGTCCTCTTTTCTCCCTGATAAAAACTGGAGCGATAGCACAGCGGGTAGGGCATTTGCCTTGCACGTGGTTGACCCGGCCGACCAGGGTTCGATTCCTCTGCCCCTCTCGGAGAATCCGGCCAGCTACCGAGAGTATCTTGCCCGCATGGCAAAAGCCTGGCAAGCTACCCCTGATGTATTCGATATGCCAAACACAGTAACAACAAGTCTCACAATGAAGACGTTACTGGGCCCGCTCGAGCAAATCAATGAACAATGGGAGAACAGTGCTACAGTCTTTCTCCCTGATACTTGGAATTTTCCTTATTAAAACACCTTTTGGGCCAGGGAGCTCACCAACAAGACTTAAGTGCTTGGTCTAAAGGCCCGACGCCCCGAGTTGGATTCCCAGCCCCTTCTCGTCACCCCACTTTCCCCTCAACAGTACGAGGGGTAGCCCTGGTGGACTCTAAGCACTACAGCCCTGGCAGGCCCACCTGTGAGTGGGCCCCAGAACTCCTGAACACTCTGGAAGCATCCCCTTCCTCCTCCCCAGAAAACCTCCCTATCGTAGATTTCCAATTTAGTCATGCAGAGGAATTTGGAAAAAACCTTGTTGTTAACCCTGGTGAGGAAATGAAGTCTCTTTCCCTCCTCGTCAAGCGAAGCTGGTCTAGACAGTGGACTTTGGGATAGAGAGTTTGTTCAGAATATGCACTTGCATGGGATTTTCAAGGACATTCAGGAGACAGTGGAAATGTGGATTCACCCTGGGTGGCAATGATGTGCTTGCGGCAGGTGCTGCCGTTTCCAGCTCCTACTCGGCAGGGGTTGGGAGGGAACCTCTGACCCATGGGCCTTGTAAAGCTATGACATCGCCACAGGATTTGGCCCCGGTACTGGGTGGGACAGACAGATGTCCGTGCTTCTCATTGGAGTCTGCCTATATTGTGTGGCCTGCATTGATCTAAATATCCAGATGGCCTTGGGCAGAAACCAGGGTCCCCACCCTGTACTAATGAGCAGGAGGTGGGGAGTGGGAAGGGGTGGGGTGGCCGGAAGGACACTGGGGACGATGGTGGTGGAAAATGCACTGGTGGAGGATTGGGTGCTCGAGCATTGTATGACTGAAAGGTAATCATGCAAGTTTGTAACTTTCACAGTGATAAAATAAAACTTATTAAAAAAAATAATAGCAGAGTCGCCTGCCCCCGTGCCTGGCTGTCCTCACCAGGGCCCCTTGGAGCGGAGCGGGTTGAGTTTTCCTCCCCGCCCCAACCAGGGCTCCGGCAGCCGAAGACCTCCAGAACCAGCCACCACCATGCTGAGACCACTCTCCGCACACATGAAGGTACTGGCAGAGGAACAAAGGCACGCGGATCCCGGGGCTGAGATCTCCAAGCCTACTCGGATCGGGGCTGAGCATCCTCCACCCAGATCCTCCAAATTCCAGTAGGCGGGGGTCAAACCCATCAACTGGCCCCCTGGCGCCTGTGTTATCCCATCAACGGGATTATAAAACCCAGCTCCCAGAAGCGCGCGGCTGCAAATGCGGCCGCGCAGCATCTTATCATCTCATTCCTACTTTGGACAAACTGGCAGGCTACCGAATGTAACCTGCCCACCCGGCAGAGTCTGGCAAACTCCCGGTGGTGTACCCAATATGCCAAATACCAGTAACAGTGAAGGGTCTCATTCTCCTAACTCTGAAAGAGCCCTGAATATGGCACTTTTTAAAAAAAATCTCAGGGCTAGGACGAAGGAGACGTTACTAGGGCCTGCTCGAGGCAATCGACGAATAACAGGATGGTTGGGATTGTTGTGATTGAAAAAAAAAATAAAGAGCAGCTTTGAAAAGACTTGATTATGGAAGTTTGCACCTAAATACAGTGTCTGATGCCTGACATCTCCTTGTCCCAGTATTGTGTTGGACTTCTCAGGCGGGTAACCTGAAGACCAGTACGTAGTGGCCAAGTGAGAAGAGGGAGGGAACAGTCCATTGGAGACCCGTGGAAGGACTCGAGTGGGGGAAGCCCCGGCCACAGGTATGAAATCCCATTGTTGAGTGGGAAATGCAGAAAGAGCTGTCTAGGGTATTGAGTAGGATTTTCCTTATTATTATTTTTCTTCTGGTTTTGATTTTTGGGCGACACCCGGCAGTGCTCAGGGACACTCCTGGCTCAGTGCTAGGGGAGCATTTATATTGGGGATCGCCTTGGGGATTCCTCCAGCCCTCTGAGCCATTTCCCGGGTCACCTTACACCTCTTTGAAAGAAAACATTTCCAGTGCTGCTTTGTCTTTTTGTAGCCACGGAAGAGCATTCTCATTGCACGAGCACAGTTGGGAACATTGCACAAGTGCTTGCTATGGACTAAGACGAAGCCCTTCGCTGTGTCCCTTGAGATCCCCACTCTAGCTCTTTCTGCCATGCATTAGTCTGGCTTTCCAGGTATATCAGCCTGAGCTGAAAAGTTGTTTATCTTTTTTTTTTTTTTTTTTTTTTTTTTGCTTTTGGGCTCCATGGTGCTAGGGGCCCATTCCTGGCTCTCCCTTCCCCCCAATAAAAACCTTTTAAAGTCTACTTTTTTGTAAATAAACCCATTGTTTGTTTGTTTTGGGGCCAAACCCGGCAATGCTCAGAGCTTACTTTTGGCTCTGCACCCAGGAACTACTGGCGGTGCTCAGGAGGCCATATGGGTTGCTGGGGATCAAACCTGGCTTGGCTGCATGCAACGCCGGCACCCTACTCCAGATGCTACCTGGACCCCTAAGGGCAACCTTTGAGAGGAAAAAAAAAACCTTTTAGCTGTGGGTTGTTTTGCTGTTGTTCAGCTGAGGGAATGAATGAAGTTCAAACTGAGATGGCAATTTGAGTTCAAAGGAACAGGAATGTTGGTAGAATTAATGTTGCAAAAAAGTATTATTTTTTGCTTTTTGGGGTCACACCCAGCAATGCTCAGGGGTTACTCCTGACTCTGCACTCAGGAATTACTCCTGGTGCTAGTTGGGGGACCATATGGGATGCTGGGAATTGAACCCGGGTCGCAGTGTGCAAGGCAAACGCCCTACCCACTGTGCTATGACTCCAGCCCCTCTTTTTTTCCTTTTAGGGTAATTTCCATCCAGGGGTCTTCACACAGGAAAGTCCAGGCGGGTCTTGG